GCGGACTCCTTGGATTCCTCGAGGTCCCAGTGCCCTATAGCGCTCCCTGCTCTTGCCCTCCAGTCATGTTTAGTCCAGCCACGTCCCGTCCTCCAAGTGAAGGGGCAGGGGCACCTGTCCGAAAAGTCTGGGGCGCCAAGGTCTGTGCCAGGACCCCAGGCTCCATCCCAGGATCCAGGCCCCGCCCCTCAGTAGCTTATCCCTAGCTGGGGCTCTCCCCGTGGGAACAGGGGACCAGCTGGCCGGAAGCGCCAAACTGCGTCCCTGTCGAGCCCCGGGGATCAATCAGGCCGAGGAGTTAATTATGTAATGAGGGGGCAGGGGGTCGGGGTTAATGAAGCTCGGGGGAGGGGGGAAAGGGAGGGTACCCAGGTATCCGGCCCCCTCTTGGACCCCTTCCAGGCCCCAGGGGTCTCCACCCCAGCCCAACTCCAGGGCCCCAATCAGGGGAGGGGCTGTGATCCTGGGTCTGGAAGGGGCTGAGCTGTGAGCTATAAAGGGGGCATTTCTCAGCACCGGGAAACTAGGCAGTGTGACCTGAGGCCAGACAGGAGTAATCCATGTACCATCCGCGAGAGTTATACCCCTCCCTGGGGACTGGCTACCGCCTTGGGCCCCACCAGCCAGGGGCAGATTCCAGCTTCCCGCCTGCCCTGGCAGAGAGCTATCGCTACCCGGGTGAGCTTTGAGACTAGCTCTGGTATAGGGGTTGGGGGTGGCTGTGTCCTTCAACTGGCCCCTCATTCTCCCCCATCTCCAGATCTGGACACTCCCAAACTGGATTGCTTCCTTTCTGGGATTGACGCTGCTCCCCGCACCCTGACTGCTCCCCCACCTCTGCCTCCACTGCCCCCTGCCCTGGGCACTGAGCCGCCCCCCACACCCCCAGAGACCCTTCACTCTCTCCCTGGAGTCAGCCTGAGCCTGGAGAACCGGGAGCTGTGGAAAGAGTTCAACTCTGTGGGAACGGAGATGATCATCACCAAAGCTGGGAGGTGAGGGGGCTGGGCCAGGGCCAGAGAAGCCAGTGTTCCTGCTGGGGGTCTCTGGGGAAAGGAAGAGTTCTTGGTGATGGGTTTATGTTTGGGGCTCTGAAGGGGTAACGGTCTAAGTTTAGAGTGTGACTAGATGAGGGGTCATTCTGTGGTACAGGTCAGGACTCAGTTTGTGGAGTCTGTTGCTGGTTTAAAGACAACCTGAGCAAGGGTCATAGATCAGTCTAGGCCGTGGTCTGGAAGTCTGACTGGGTGACAGATTAGTAGGTGGCCTAGATCAGAGATCAGTCTGTGGCTGGAGTCAGGGTTCAGGCTATGACTAGGGCCAAGGGCCAGTCAGTGACCAACATCAGGGAAATCTGGCCAGGATCAGGGGTAATATGTGACTAGGTCCAAGAAGCAGGGAAATGGTCTGTGTGGGGTCTCTATTGAGGCCAGGAGCCAAAGCCCTCACATGGAAAGTTCTCTGTCTTGGGCAAGGTAGGGCAGTTTTTTTTCTTACTAAAGTTAAGTTTGTCCAGCTGGCAGCTGTAGATTCTGATGCCAGGACTCAGGTGAGGCGACCACTGGTTCTGAGCTGGCGTTTGAGGGGCTAGGTGTCGAGTCCCTGCTCTGCCCCTAGTCTGCTGTATGACTGGGCAAATCATCTGTCTGCGTTGTTTCCCATCTGTAAAATGGAATGAGAAAAGCTTCCAGCTCTAAGGCCCTGTTCTCTGAGTTTTCATTCCACCTCCCTCCACGTTTCTCTGCCAGAACGGGTGAGTGCTGGCTATGACCCCTGGTCGGGTGCGAGTGCAGTGCCCACCCTGGCCTGTGGGTAGCTCCAGGCCTCTCCCCTTCCCTCCCCTATCCAGGCGCATGTTCCCTGCTTGCCGAGTGTCGGTCACTGGGCTAGACCCCGAGGCCCGATACCTGTTTCTTCTGGACGTGGTTCCGGTGGACGGGGCTCGCTACCGCTGGCAGGGCCGGCGCTGGGAGCCCAGTGGCAAGGCAGAGCCCCGCCTACCTGACCGGGTCTACATTCACCCTGACTCTCCTGCCACTGGTGCTCACTGGATGCGGCAGCCTGTGTCTTTCCATCGTGTCAAGCTCACCAATAGCACACTGGACCCCCACGGCCATGTGAGGCCCAGGCTGGGACCCCAGGCTGAGGGGTGGGGTGGGGTCCAGGGTAGGGAGTTACTGGTGTTTCTTCCCTCCCAGCTCATCTTGCACTCCATGCACAAGTATCAGCCCCGCATACACCTGGTGCGCGCTGCTCAGCTTTGCAGCCAACACTGGGGGGGCGTTGCCTCCTTCCGCTTCCCTGAGACCACATTCATCTCCGTGACAGCCTACCAGAACCCACGGGTGAGTAACCCTGCTTACGGGGTAAAGGGGCTGGTGCCTTGACAGGCTGCAGGAGCCTTGACCCTGGATGTGTGCCCCCCAGATCACACAACTGAAGATTGCAGCCAACCCCTTTGCCAAGGGCTTCCGGGAGAATGGCAGAAACTGTAAGAGGTGGGCATTGCTCGTTCATTCACTCCTTGACGCAACATAGTGGCGATTGGTAATCACCCTCTGTGTGCCCGGCACTGTGTTAGATGCTGGGGACACAGTGGTAAATATAATAATTTATTGACTCTTTTGACAAATATTTAGCATCTGTGTTGGGCCAGTACAGGCTTAGGCACTGCAGAGACATCAGTAAGCAAAACAAACCCTGCCTTCATGGAACTGATTAAGTCTAATGGGCAGAGGAGACAAGTTAACCAGAGAATTAAATATATTTAGGGCTCAGGTCTAAAGAGAAAAGGAAGGTAGGAAGGACTTTAGTGAGGTCTTTATTAGATGAGACCTGGAAAGGTCTCACTGAGAAGCGACCATTTGAGAACAAACCTCAAGTGTGGTAGAGCGATACAGCGAGCTGGTGAAGAGCGCGCCAGGGAGGAGCAGGTGCAAGGGCCCTGAGGTGGGAGCAGCCTGTGGCATGGCTGGAGAAGCAAGTCAGAGGTGACGGGAGCCAGATTTTATTGACAAGTATTGGGTGAGGACTTTGGCTTCTGCTAGTGCAGCCCCCTCGGAGCTAGCCCTTGCCAGCTCAGGGAGCGCACAGTCAGATGGAAGAGACAGATCACGCTCACCAACACGAAATAGCTGTTGACTGTTATCAGGCAGGGCCGTGTGCAGTTCAAGTTGTGCTTGAACTAACAAGAAGGATGAGTTAAGCAGGTGAAAAGGGGACCAAAGAAGACTCCCGGGTGGGGCAGAGGGAACAGATGGGTTGAACTGGGATTGGACCATGCCCTGGTCTTGCAGCTTGGAGAGGAGTTTCCACTGATTCTAAATGCAATAGGAAACCATTGAAAAGTTTTAAGTCAGGAATAAATCCCAGCCCTGCCACTTTTTAAGTCATTGAATTCTTGGTCTTAAGTTCTTTCATCTGTAAAATGGGTATAGTGGCACCTACCTGATAAGAATCCCTGGGAGGGTGAAATGCCTGGCACCTGGGAAGTGCTATTATTGCCATCATCATCACCATCACCATCATCACTGTTCCCCAGGGAGCGAGACGCCCGTGTGAAGAGGAAACTGCGGGCCCCAGAGCCAGTAGCCAGAGAGGCCTATGGGAGTGGAGGTGAGTGTCCCAGTCATGATGGACCACATCTGATGCTAATCTTCCTTGGCCCAACCTGTCCCTCTGTCTCCCCAGATGCACCAGGTGGTCCCTGTGACTCCACGCTGGGTGGGGACATTCGTGAGTCAGATCCAGAGCAGGCCCCAGCGCCCCAGGAAGCTGCTCCTGCCGCAGCTCCTCCATGTGGAGGCCCCAGTGCTGAAGCCTACCTTCTGCATCCTGCAGCTTTTCATGGGGCCCCCAGTCACCTGCCCACTAGGTGAGTGGGACAAGGGCCTGGGGTTGTTCTGGGATGAGGGTTCCCGCACCCCCGACCCTGTCCTGACACATCTTTCCACTTCAGGAACCCCAGCTTCTCTGAGACTCTAGACTCTGGGCGACCAGCCCCCTACTCAGCTGCATTTCTGGAGCTTCAGCCCGGGCCAGGGGGCTCAGGATACCCAGCAGCTGCACCCCCAGGACCCTTTGCCTCACACTTCCTCCAAGGGGGCCCTTTCTCTCTACCCTATCCTGGGCCTGGGGGTTACCTGGATGTGGGCTCCAAACCAATGTACTGACCCTATTGCTGGGCCCCTCTGTCCTCCTCCCTGTCTTCCATCACATGGGCCAGTTCCCTTCCCCCAGGCCCGTTGCCCCCTCATTTCCACTGGCCCCATCCCCCCACACCAAATGGCTGCCTTGGGCCTCCCCCCACCCCTACTTCACACTTTGATTTTACTCCCACCCCCCTCTGGCTTCAAAGCTCTGACTAAGCTGCTGGGAGTCCAGCTGGGGCCAGCTTCCCCTTCCCGGCTCTCACCTCTGTGTGAATGGAGGGAGGCTCTGCCTGGCCAAATGGGGCCAAGGACCAGCACTCCCACCTCCCGGCTTCACCCGTGGGCTCTCCAAGTTCTACCCCCTGGCCCCAGTGCAAGCCACACCAGTCTGTTCTCAGGACCAGAGTATTTTTGTTAATAAAACTCCAAAGACATCTGTGCTCTGGCAACACTGGACTATGGCGTTTAGCCCTGGGCAGGGCTGGGTGAGCAAAGGTTTTGTGGGGAGATTCAGGCCGGGATCTAGACTTGCCAGCTTCCAGTTCTTGGCCTCGTGCATGTAGATCAATCTGCTGCGGGCCTGTTTTCTCTCCAGGAAAACAGGCCAGCCTGAATGTCCTGACCAACTCTCTGTTTTGAAAAATAAGGCTGCCTTGGGAAGCCAGCTCTGAACCTAGCACTCAGGAAGCCTCTGGGGAGCGGTCAGAGTCACTGAATGGAAACCAGGCTCTGGGACAGTTAAGACCCTATATCTACCGCAGCCACGCCCATGCCCTGAATGTGCCAGGCCAGCATCGATGTTCGTCCCCAATCCGTGGGCTACAAACCCAAATCCCCAATCCAGTCTGACATTTTTCTTCTTTTATTAGAATTTTTTTTCTTTTTTCCTCAAAATTTTTATCTAAAAACAAACAAAAAGAAAAACAGAAGCAAAAAAATTATTGGAAACGTCATGGTTCAAGTGGGGAGAAAGTAGAGGAGCGTGGAGCGGAGGCTCCAAGCCTCTTCAAAGTCCTCACCCTCGAAGTGCCCTCTCTGGGGTGGGAGAGAGCAGAGTCAGTGGCACTCCCTACCCCACTGCCCAGCCTCTATCTGGAGCAGAGGGCAGAGTCACAGTGGTCCGAGGGCCAGTGGGGCTGGAGCGGGGCAGGGGCCGAAGGGTCACAGGAAGTAGTCGGCCACGGGCTTCTTGGAGGGGATGCCCCGTGTCTCCTGGGGAGCAGCCTCGAAGATGATGAAATCCTTCTGGAGATGCTCATCCAACTCCAAGATGGCTGCCACATTCCCACAGCTGGAAGCCAGAAGGTAGCAGTGTTATAGGAATGGGCCTTCCTTGACTCCCACCCCCATCTTGACCTCCTGGTCCAGGCTGCTCACCGGTAACAGTAGTTGGGTGCTGACCACACAGTGAGCACAGTCTCATTGAAGTGCCACTTGTAACCTTCCATCACCAGTTGGTGGGCGCGGCAGATCATATCAATGTCGTTGGCTGCATTGAACTGGGCCACCACGTCACTACCAAACAGGTAGCCAGCCCCCCGAGGGCTTACACCCCAGCCTGTTGTGTCTGAGGCAAACGAAGGCAGGGATGGGCAAGGGTGTCACGGCTTCTCTGACTAGCCACTGTCTTTTGAAGGCGAATGCCTAGACCCCTTCCCTAAACAGCCGGAGGGAACAAAGCCCAGAGGCTGAATGTATTCTGGATGATTCTAAGGAATAGGACAGCAAATGCTGGATCAGATAAGCTCCAAAGCAGAAAGAAGTTCCAGGTAGTTGGAACCACTACCTAACCAGAGTCATGTGCTTTCCTGTCCAGACAGGCACACACGAGTGAAAGGAGGCGTGGGTGATGGCCGCGCCAGCAGGGCAGTGTGAAAAGGGCTGTCCCCTAACCTGGGAGGCGAGTAAGGTAGGCGGGCAGGGCAGTGAGGGAGCAAAGTCCTGGACTGGTACTGGGGATACTCAGCTTTCCACCTTAGCCCTGTTCTATCTTGGCTGAGGAACTTCTAACAAAGGGGTCCAGGTCCTCCCAGGGGCTACCATTCTGGGAACTTGACCTCGGCAGAAGCTACTGATAAATTCTAAATCTCTTCATGTTAAGGGAACCAATGGTTTTGTCCTAAAGAAGCCTCTGAGACATGATATACAGGTCTCTGGGCTCAGAGCACCCTGCTATCCACACTGCCCCTCCTCCTGATGGTGCCAGCTGTGGGCAGGTCAAATACAGATGCCAGTGAAGACCTGCCTACTCTGCCTTTCCCCAAACTCATCTGGCTTTCTGTCCCTTCAAGGAGCTTCTTAAAACCACCCCTCGGCCCGTCACCAACTAAGGGCAGAGTCCGCCTGCCTGCCTGACGCACTTACCTTCAGGGTCCGACCAGAGCAGGTCGCACATGGGCCCATCATGAGGCACCTCTTGCTTTCGGTCAATTGTCCGAATCTGGTCCAGGGTCTGTATGGAGGGAGAGAGGCCCCCGTGCACGCAGAAGATCTACAGGGGAGAGCAGGAAAGAGCAGGGAGTCAGGCCCAGAACCTTTCCCCCATTCTCCCTCAAGCCCTGTGAAGCCCTGTGGCTGGCCTACCTTGCCATCGATGATGGCCGACAGGCTGAGGTAGTCAAAGATCTCAGTGCAGTAGCGCCACACGGTCACGGAGCCATACTTGCGCAGGCACTCGTCATAGAAGCCATAGACCTGGGTGATCTGGCGGCTCTCGTGGTTGCCCCGAATCAGGGTAATGCGGTCAGGATAGCGAACCTGGAGGCAGCCAGCAAGCCAGGGCTGGGGTCTAGGTTCTGTCCCCCAACCTATCGCTCACACCTGCAGCCCACTCCACCCTCATCCCCACTGCCCCAGTCCAGACTCAGGCCGTCATTTCCTGGAATCACATGCATCTACTTCACAGGCCCCCAGTTCCTACTCCAGAAGCTGCAGAGCTGACCCCCTCCCCCATCAACTGAAATGGCTCCTCTTTCACCTACCAATACAGGCCAAGCCCACAGCATGGCGGTCAAGGTGCCGTCAGCTGGCCCCTTATAACCGCTCTCCCGCTGATGGCTACTCGTTCAGTTAAACACAACTCCTTGCTACTTTCTGAACTCAGGCAGCCTCTATTCCCTCCCCCACGATGCCACCACTCTAACCTCCTCCTCCAGGAGCCCAATCAGATACCCCAAGCCAAGGAAAGCGTCAGTGACCACCTTCACACACAGAATCTACGTAGCACCAGCAGCACAGCTCGAGGGGTAGGTGTGATGGAACAGGAGGTAAGGGCGGAAAGGATGCAGACAGGTCAGGCCCAGGATGACCCAGGTTTGAGCTCCAGAAGCCAGGGGCTCCCACCTTCAGTGCCAGCAGCAGGAGGAACGTTTCAACACTGTAGAAACCACGATCCACAAAATCCCCCATGAAGAGGTAGTTGGTCTCAGGAACATCACCACCCACCTGGAGGGAGAAGAGGTTCTGTGTACCCCGTCCCCTAATCGCTGTGGTGGCTCACTTTCCAGTCAAGCTGGGGCCCTTTCTTCACAGCGAGCTAACCTAACCAGCACTCTCTTGCCCCCGTTCACTCACTGGATTCAAAATTTCCACTCTCAGAGGGTCCTGCGGCCACGCCCCCAGATCATCTCCCCAGGGCTTTCCCCCACTCACTCTGAACAGCTCCTTGAGGTCATAGAATTGTCCGTGGATGTCGCCGCATACCTGGGAAGTGAGAAGGTAAGTGGGAAGTCACAGTCCGAAAACCTCTGTGCCCAGGAGCAATCCTTCCAACACCCACTGCTTTAGCAGAGCTTTACTCGTGGATCAGCCTCTGCTTCCAAGGGCCGAAGGTCTATACTCCCACCCATGTTCGCCTGGCGTGCAATCCCTTCCCTCCCTCATCCCACACTGAGTGCCAACTGTTCTCTGGGCAAGAGCTAGAGCCAGGTCTCCCCAGCTAGGCCTGCAGCTCCTGGAGGACCCAGCCCCCACCTTTCCCCACTCCCCTGAGTAAAGTTACTAATAGGCCTTCTGCCCTCACCAAAGTACCCATCCAACAAATCAAAAGACCCTCCCCCAAACAACCACTTCTTATAACAAGGCTCCCTTGAAGATGGAGGAGGGGACAGTGACATGGGATTTTCTGGATCCCCAGGGACGAGGGAGACTGTGAGCCTAAAGGGACGGCCCCTGTGCCCAAAAGACCAAATGCGGCTCTGATGGGACAAAGGCTACTCACTGTGACTGGTGAGTCCACCCTCTGCACGTTGCTCTCTTCTACCAAGATCTCTCTGGGGACAGGAGAAGACCAGGATCACCACAGCCCCACCAGGCCAGCCCAGCCCAGCCCAATTCCTGACCTTTTTCAGGGGGAGGGGAGGATGCAAAGCAGTCCTTAAACCTCTAGGGGGCAGGAGTGAGTTGTGCAAGTTCCCCGGGAGCGGCTGACCACAACTTCCACTGCTCAACATCCTTCATGGCTCCTGGCTGCCAGCAGGTCAAAGCTCTAGCTCTTATTCCAGCATTCACTCTTGCCAAGAAAGCTGTGACGTTCCAGCCCTGACTCTCCCTGCTCTCCCTTCTCACTTCAGCACTCACTCCCAGAAAACACTCCTCTCTACAGAGTTCTCTGCTCAGCCTGGAGCATGGCGAGACTATGCCCTTGGCGGAGTTCTTAGTCTCTGTCCATCACAAAAATTCTCCAGGCTGTCCAAAGGCACAGGGGTGCGGTGAGGTGGGTGCAGGGGCCAGTCACCCCAGGTGCACCTTCAAACTGATACACTGTTACTACCTTTTCCTTATTTAATTAGAAAAAGAGGAGAGAACTTTGTTCTTTCCTTTTCTCCCTGCATTGCAGTCTATTCCTACTCTGTGAGCATGAGCTAAAACCATTGTCAGTTACGGACACTCCACTTCATTAGGACCATACACTCCAAATCTGGCCTTGATGACAACTGCAGCAATGACTACCCCAGTTCACACCATGCGCCAGGCAAGAGCTATGCGTGGAAGATGTGAGCAATCACACCACCGCCTCCAAGGCAGGCCCCATGACAGCTCCTGCTGCTCAAAGAAAGCCAGCAGCTGTGGTCACACCAGTGGACTTGAACGAAGGCAACCTGGGTCCAGGGGCTGGCTCTTCCACTGAGCTATTCTGATGTGGGAGAGCCAGACCCTTACCTGGTTATCACTGTCATTCTCTCGGCATTAGACTAGGCACTCCCCCAGCTCAGGGAACAGGTGGCTTTGTGCAGGCTCTCAGGGCGCTCCTCATGACAAAAGTGGCATGAGGGAGCTGTGCCTCGGCTATCCTGGAATGGAAAGAGGCACTGGCGATGGCATGAGAGGCCAGAGAGCAACGGGACTCGCTCAACCTCTACTGTGTCTCTTGCTGAACGCCCTCCACATTAATGGTTTAAAGTGACCTTTTCAACAAACCAGGGGCAGGATCACAAAGCTGGAGAGTGGCTGAATCGGAACTCAGAAGCCCAATTTCCTGAGCATCTATGCCAGCCCCTTCCACCAAATTCAGGTCAAAAGTCAGCAGGGGCCCAGGGTTGCCTGGAACAAGGCCCACCTTCCAGCCCCACTGTTACTTGCAGCATGCCAGCAACCTGCTCAGGGCTTGTGCCTGCTCACCTTTATTTCCACAACCAACGCGACCTTTAGTAATCCTACCAAAGTACCGGTCCCTAGATCTGCAGACCCTCACCTTAGCCTCATAATTTAATAGACTCAGAGATAAAGTGACATAACTAGGGTGATACTGTTCATAGGTGAGAAAGCTGGGATGCATCCCAGAGATGACCTGATTCAAAATCTTCTGCTCTTCAAACATGCCAATATTTTTAGTAGAAGCAAGTTCAAGTCACACATTTCAGGCTTCTGAAGGGTTTGAGTCTGCATACTCTATGAACAAGCTGAAGCTGTGGATACTCAAGCCTTGACCTGGACCCCTGGAGAATATCCAAGAGGCCACAGCCAGGTGTTAGAGTGGGCCCCCCCTCAGACTGGACCTGGGTCAATAAAAGTCAGGCTTCAATCAAGTAACTCCTAGCTCCATGTTAGTTTCCACTGAGCAGGACTCTAGCATCCCCCCAGCTTCCTGCTGCCTCTCACACAGTCTAAATGTCTCTGCCTGGCTGCCCCTCAGCAAAGAGTTTAGTCAAGTCCTGGATATAAAACCAGTCTCCCTTCAACTAAACTGGAAGACCTTGGGCAAGACATTCTCTTCTTTGAGGTTCAGTTTCCTCTTCTATGGAAACTCACTTCTGTCCCGCCTACTTCATAGGGCCACTGCAGAAGGCAATGGAAACTAAACACAATTTCTGTTCTGAAAAGTCCACCAAGCTGTCCAAGCATTAGCTATCACCACCACACTGATCCAAGTCCGGTGAGGGAAGACTTCAGGGGGAAATGAGCAGGGTCAGGCAGCATTGCTTTACATTCCTAAAAAATGCCAATTGAGAGTGAGGTAGCAGGGATGACTTAAAAAAAAATCTTGGGAGTTGTCTAGTAAGTGAAATTTTCTTAAGTTGGCAAAACACAAGAGTCACAGATAAGCATTTAAAAGGGGGTCTTGGGGACTCCCCGGCGGCGCAACCGTTGAGCGCTGGGTTGCGAAGCTGCCCGTGGCCTCTGCAGCGCCGGTTCGATCCCCGGCTGCTCCCCGGCCACCGGAGGAGGGTCCCACATGGCGCGCAGACCTCTCCTGCCGCCCGCTGCTCCCCTCAGCAGTGTACTTCGGTCCTTCTGCCTGCTCTGCTCCCCGCTCTGGCTCTGGTGAATTCTCTCACCCTCCCGCGCTTCTGACTGTACCCAGTGCTTGTATAAAAACAAACAAATAAATAAATAAAACATGCCTCTAAAAAAAACCCACCTTATAAAATAAATAAATAAATAGATAAAAGGGGGTCTTGCCTGTCTACCAAAGCTCTGCAGGCCCAGCCTGTACGAGTCAAAGCCAAGCAAAGTGCCTAATGGCCATAAGTTCAGAACCCATTTGGCCACTTTCTCTCTGGGAGAATTCAGTCAGGTCTCTAGGCCTCTAGGAGTCATGGCTTCCTGTTGTGTAAAATGGAGCAAGTAATTCCAACCCCATGGGATTACCAAGTGGAAGAGATGGATTTAAGTTGCCTACCAGTACAAAGACAGACTAATCACTGCCTGTTTTCAATAAACACAGGGTAACCCACTGGCGCTCTTCCCACAATGCCACAGTCAAACAGTTCCTCAGGGAAGGCAGGTGACTGGTGTCCTTGCTGTTGCTCATACATCCCACGGGCTCCACTCTTACTCTCATCCTGCTTGGAATTCCCTTCCTCATTTGCCCTGCCTGTCAGCTATCCACATCATCTTCACCTTTCAAGGCCACCTTATAAACCTTCCCTGATGCCTTCAATCTGTAGCAGCACTGCCCTCTTCCTTCAACAACACCTACGGATGCCTCAACGTTCTACCAAAACACTATGGTAGCTCATCCTCAGTGCCAAATCACTCTTCACAACCATCTCACTAAATACTATTATTCTCACTTTACAGACGAAGAAATCGAGTTCCAGAGAGTTCAAGATCACCAACAGAGTAAGCGGCAGAGCTCAAATTCCAACCTAGTCATCACATTCCAAAGCTTGGGACCCTAACCACTACATCATGCTACTTTCCATGGAACTCTAAGTTGGATCTCTCTTCATATTGTGCTTAATTCTGCTCCGGCTTATTTGCTACCATTTCTTGGGCTCCTACACTGACTCTACATTCTTACATGATGGCCCAAAAAGGAAAAGGACATACAAAACTGGCTTCAGGTTCCATTCCTTACTTGCTGATGACTCTGACCATGAGAGTCTTCACCTGCAAAACGGGGACAATACACCCACCTTTAAGGGTTGTTGTTAGAACTAGGAAAATTTTGTGACTCAGTCTTTAGCTTTCTTGCCTCAACGTTTTTTGTTCCTGCTGACACTTCCTTTTATCATCTTATTCTTTCTTCAGGGCTTATTCAAAATCCAATTTCTCCAATGAGTCTTCTGTGATTCCCCCCACAGACAGGGCTGCTTCCCTGAGCTTTCCAAGTACTTTCTCTAACTCTCCTGCTCCACTGAAACACACTCTCTAATACGTTAAGTGTTTTTATCCAGGTCTGTCTTTCCCCAACAGGCTGGCTGTTCCCGACAAAAGTGACCCTACTCTGCTCCTCTGCGAAAGCTTACAGGATGAGCCAAGCCCAGATTTCTCTGCTGGTTTGCTCCGGGTCGGAGCCCGTGGGCAGAAGCTGGGCTTCCCTTCCCAGTGGTCGCTGGGCTCACCTGGCCTTCGCGCACAGGGCCTTGACTTCGCTCTCCTTGATGAGCTCGCAGCGCCGCAGCTGCTCGATCTGCCGGTCCAGGTCACTGATCTCCGCCATGGCCCACCCACCCCCAGCGCGGGTCAGAGCCGGGGCAGCCGCCCCCTCCGCTCCGCACAGGGGTCTCCTGGGAACGGCGAAGACGAGCCCGAGGATCAGGGGGCGTCGGGGAGGGGGGGGCAACTGGATTCTGGAGCTGACCCCCCCCACCCCCCACCTCCCCCTCACATCGGCCCCGGGACCCCCAGCGTCCCACGGCCCTGGCAGCCCCTAGTTAACTCCCGTCGAACCCCGCGGTCCCGCGCTAGGGACGGTGGCCTAGAGGGGTCTCAGGCTATTACCGCCGCTGCGACTCCGGTTCCGGCGCTCTGGCTCCTTGCCTTCCTCCTTCACTCCTCTTTGGGCCGCCGCCGCCGCTTCTACTTCCGGCCCCGCCGCGGAAGCAAACGGAGAGCAGTTCCGCCGCGCGCCGGAAGTGGCGTCATACACACCGCCCCCTCCCTGCCGCGCCCTCGACCCCGCCTCTCAAGCCGAAGCTTGGAAATAAGCCCAAGGAACCGGATATCGGCTCCGTGCGGGCGGAAGCCAAAAGCCCAGGGTACAGTGAGGCCTGTAGAGACCCATCCAGGCCCCTCCCGTCTCGTTTAGGGAAACTGAAGCGGAGCCGGGCTTCGCCTTGTAAGTTGGTTACACATTTTTGTTTACCTGTTTTAGCCAGCCTCCCCCATTATAACCCCTGTGCCTGGAACAAGGCCTGGCACAGTAAGCATACGTAAGTATTTGTCCAGTGGCTAAAGGAGCCCACTCCAGATCGCGTTCCATGGCCCTAGAGACTCACTGCACGGAGGACCTGATTCGAGGCAGAAAGGAGTCGCTCACAGCAAGCCTGTGTATACCTGTCTACAGGACCTCCCTGATTCCTTGACAGCCTCCAGTTGCCGCCTGTTGTCCAGTTTTATTACTTTTTTTAAAGCGAAGGAAACTGGCTCAGAGGCAGTTCATGATTACATAGCTAAGATTCTTGGGTTTGAATCACAGTTGGAATCTGAACCCAGGAAAGTTGTGTCCTCAATTCCTTGCTCCTGTCGTATTCGCTTACTGGAACCCACTCTTGTCATTGTAAATCCCAAAGTCCCCAAAGTGGCATTTGAAGTCCACGCTTTTTCTCTTTTGCTTCAGGCAGAGGAAGCAACTGATCTTTAAGGAAACTTCATGGTTTCCTTCGCACCTTCTCCTTCCTTTTTGGAATGTCCTTTTCTCTTTATCCTCTGTTGACCTTCAGTTTTTATTTGCTGTACCTTAGGTTTTTGCTTCACAGAGAGTTGAGATTAGGCATAGAAGTGAGGCCAAAGTTTGAAAGGGCACTAGGTTTTGGATATAGGCAATAAATGCAAATGTGCAGGGAAGCAAAGGACTGGATTTTTAAACTTCTAGAAGTGCCTAAAGTCAGTTCTGGAGGATCATTACAGGGTGACATGACATGCTGAGAGATCAGAAAACTCTAGATTTTCCTTCTTTCAAAGGGGTTCATACAGGAAAGGGTCCATGGGAGAAACCTGGGATGTGGCAGGACTTACTGTTCCCTTATTACCACTAGGATCTCTGATAACTGAAAAGACCTGATATTGTTATTGCTACCACTCAGCTTGGTTAACTAGGAAAGGATACAACGCACTGCATGGGAGAAAGTATAGGGCCCTCATTCTGGCTTCATGGACTGCAGCAGCTACAGAGTTTCAGTTTTTAACCTAGAACCTGAGCCTTACAGTTCTGTGTGTGTGCATGTCTTAGGGGGTGTATTGAAGATTCCAGGTACTTCAAGGGGTTCTATAGCCCAAAGAAGATCAAGAAGTGAGTTCTATTCCCATCTGCCATTAATATGATAGACCAGCTCAACAGTGCCAATGAAGGAGATATGCCCTAATAACCTTGTTTCCACTAAGAAACAGTGCTATCTAGGGCAACACAGCCGTAAGCATAAACTTGGAATAACAGCACCTCACAGAACACTCATTATGTTGCCTGACTCATAGCACTGGGCAGTCTGGGTATTCGTCAGTGGCTGCCTTATCAGATGCTGCTGGTAAAGGGGGTAAGGACTCGGTAACTAGAAGAAAATTCACAGGCTCTCCTCTTGAGCCCTGTAAGTATAAAACAAAGCAGGAAGGTCCTAAACATCTCCCCTTCACCATCTTTCTGCTTATGAAGGAAAAACCCAATACAAAGCCTCTTTCTTCTAGGCCCTCCCACTTTCCCTGGCCCTCCCCTGCACCAAACACTATAGACATGTACAGTAGACGCCCCCTTAAATAGTTGTTTATTGGCAGTGGGTTGGAAAGGGCGATGGAGCTAGCATACACAGACAACACCACACACCAGTGTCACGAGGGAGGCAAGAATAGGAAAGAGCAGCCTGGAGCCCTGGATGATGCCCCTTCTTCAAGAGTGTGCGAGGGAGCAGGGCCTGGAGTGTTGAGGGGGTGGCCTTAGAACACTACCGCTCAGTAGGCATGGTTAGAGACGAAGAGGGACTCGCTGGCTGCAGCCCCCGACTGGCCGCTTGGAGTGTACTTTCCTTGGCAGGCGAGGCTGTTGGCCTGAGAGGGGAGAGGAGCCCGAGTGAGGTTTCTTCTCAGAATACTGTCCACCCCCACATCCCGCCCGTCTCCTGGTCCAGGCTTACCAGGGCTCGCTTGACATACTCCTCCTGAGCAGCCTTCAGGTTCTCCTTCTTGCCACCCCAGGCCTTCAGAGCAGAGGCCTGCAGGGCTCGACCATAGGAGAAGGTCAGGGCCCACGGCTTCAACAGGGGGCACTTGTTGATGGCGTTCAGGTTGATGGATGCCTCCTCCTCACTCTGGCCTCCAGACAGGAAAGTGATCCCTGTGGAACAAGAGGTGAAATGAGGGGTGGAGTTGTAGTCAGAGACCCAGGGGACTGTAGGAACCCCTATAAGCTGACCTGGAAATCAGACCAATGGACAGGAGGACTGTGGGTGCTGTTCAACAACCTCCCAGAGGATGGGGAGCGGGAAGGGGAGGGATTGGGGTCAAAATAAGTGGGTCACAATTGTATGGGGAATATAAAAATAAAATTCATAATTAAAATAAATAAATAAATAAATAAAATGGAAAAAAAAAAAAAACACAACCTCCCAGAGGTCAAGATGAGGGTATGAAAAAAAAAAAAAAAAGATGAGGGTATGATCTCACCAGGGACAGCAGGGGGCACTGTGCGGCGCAGTGCAGTGACAGTTGCCATGGCAATCTCCTCATGAGAAAATTTCTGGGTGCAGGCATGGCCTGGGGTCACCATATTGGGCTTCAGCAAGGTGCCTTCCAGGTAGATGTGGTGGTCACTCAGAGCCTTGTAGACAGCAGCCAGCACCTAGAGCAGGGCAAGGCCATGATGGGGCAGGATAGAGGAGGATGAAAGGGGACACCCAAAGCCCTAGGCCCAGCTGCCTAGCCCACCGCAGTGCCCAGGCAGGCAACCTACCTTCTCAGTTACATACTGACAGCGCTTCAAGTCATGGTCCCCATCGGGGAGGATCTCAGGCTCCACAATTGGCACGATGCCATTCTGTGGGGCAAGGAATAGGTTAGCCATCAGGCCTCCTAACAAGACCCCACCTACAGCCCTCCACAACCATTAGCCAAGATCTTATCTCCATGATGACAGACTTATGGCTTCCAAGCCCTCGGCAGTTTGTAGGAGAGAGGCTGCTCCTGAGAACCACCCAGATTCCCTATCTGTCTCTCTGCTCCAACAGCCCTTGAGTGTCCTCCACAGGGCCAGGCCTCAGGCCTGGTGAGGATCCGCAACAGTTGTCTTGGGGGAGGTGGGTATCCTGGCAGATGGGTAGCAAGCTAGCTGACACTCTGGAACCAAATGAGGTGGGGAGTGGCTTGTTGGGGACTGCAGGCCAACCTGCTGGCAGATGCTGGCATAACGGGCCAGAACGTTGGCGTTTTCCATGATGGCAAGAGCTGAGGGGGTGTGTTCCCCAATCTTCAGCACACAGCGCCACTTGGCAAAGTCAGCTCCATCCTTCTTGTACTGGGCACAGCGCTCAGACAGCCCATCCAGCCCTGGAGAGGGGACAGAATTGTTAGATCATGGCTAAGAAGGGGGAAGGTCACTCCCTCTAACCCTGGGTACCCAGAGGGGTAGCTGATGAGGGTAAATTGGATCAGTAAGGAAGGGGAGTTTGCCAGCAGTTCTCACCTTGGGTGGTAGTCTCTCCATTTGTTCCTGCCAGGGGTACCACACCCTTGTCTACCTGTGGGGTTGGGGAGTACATCTTAAGACAGAGGGAATGACCTCTGGTGTCCTTTGTCCTCTATCGTCTCAGTCTGCCCCATCTTAATCTCTCAAGCAGCATCTCATGGTTTGCAAATGTTTGTGCTTAATTATAGCATCTGATCTTACTGGAGGACACACATGGATGTGACTTGACAGATCATGGGCTCCCGCCACAACTCTGAGCAAAACACTTTACTGCCTTGAACTTCTGGTTTGTAATCTTTACAATCAGGGTAATATCTTGTTCTTAAAACAGCAGAGATTAAAAATGCCAAGCAAGTCCCATAAATTTCTAGTTTTTCTTACACATGCTTCTGAGATGACAGCGGCAGACAACCTAAGTTTCTAGGCTTCCAACCCAGTGTTCATCCCCAGTCAGTTACTGTTTTCTTCCGCCCACCCATCCCAAATCTCACATCCAAAAGCTCAGCCCCGTCACCTTGATGCCCACGACACCGCCTTTGGATTTGATAACTTGGGGGAAGGGACGCCCATCATCCGCTTTCTGGTAGAGTGTCTCATGGAAAAGGATGACGCCCCCAATGCAGGGGTTCACACGCTCGTCGGCAGTCAGCAGCAGCTGGCGATAGAAGCGCCGGTTCTCCTCAGTGTTCTCAGTGCCAATGGACTGCAGTCGCTTGGCAATGCTCCCTAACAGAGCAACACGTGGGCGTAAGGGGCTAGCTGACACTCAGACTGTCGCCCCCACCCTGGGCCCTCCTCCCCAGGTCCTGGCCGCACCCGTGGACTCATCTGCAGCCAGGATGCCCTTGCCCCGGGCCACGATGCGAAGAGCTATTTCAGACAGCTCCTTCTTCTGCTCCGGGGTCAGTGCTGGGTATTGGTAGGGCATGGTGCCGGTCAGGTCCTGGGCAGAGGACACAGATGAGAGGGGTTAGCTGGGCCTTCCTGTGGTCTCCCAAACAGCAGGGCCTCTTGCCTGGAGGTGAGGTCAGAGGTTCCCTACCTCCCCTGCCCCACACCCGGCAGGTCTTGGGGCACTTCCTGTCCCCTACACCGACTTCCCTATACTAGCCTGTCTCTTGTACCTTTCCTAACTTTGCTTGTTGCTGGGTGTTGCCCAGCTGGGGGTGGGGCTGTGTACTAGCATCTGGAGTAAAGGAATAAGCCAGAGCCATGGACAGGTGGGTCGTGTAGAAGCTGGACCCTTCTGGCTTGCTCCTTGCCATGGGGTCACTTTGCCTAGAAGCAAAACCGAACCAGAATATTTTAGGATTTAGAGGTTGCGCGTAAGGCAGAGGGCCCAATCCCCTCATTTGAAAGGACCAGATCTGAGATTAGAACCCAGATCTTGTGTCATAGGGATGATTCCTTCCAATCCACCCAAGATCCCAGGGCTGGCCCAGGCCTCAGAGCCTCAAGGACACCTCAAGGTCAGGCTTCTCCCCCAGGGTGGAGGGAGGTGTCAGGAGAAAGGGGGGTGGTAGGTAATCAGAAGCCCAGGAAAGGACAGCAGAGGAAGCCCAACCCAAGGTGGAGGGAAGAGGTGAGGTTTGCCATTCTCACTGCTCATAACAAGGTAGGAATGGGGAGGAGGCAAGCGCCCCACCCCTTCCCCGAAAAATGCTCTTGTCTGCTCACTGGACTGCAGCTGTTCCAGGCCTCGAATCAAGGTCACCCGATAAGGAAAGAGGTAAAATGTTAATGGGGCATCAGGCACTGCCAAGGGGGTGCCTCTCAGCAGGGGCACCTGCCACCAGGGCAGGGAACAATCACCCGTTTTCAGAAACTTCAGAGACAGTGTAGGAGCCTGCCCACAGCCTCGCTGCCTCCTAGTATCTCTGCGGATGCAAGGTCGTGATCCTTTCCACCAGCGGTGCCAGCAAGAAAGAGGGAATGGCCCTCCATCTCATTCTATTTCCTCCCCCGCCATGACTCAGGCTGCGAAGCCGCCAGTGTACTGCGCAGCAAACCGAGGGTGCTCAAGCCGGAAAGGACTGGGGAGTCTGGGCTGGAGGCAGGTGTGTGTGTGACGATGGTGGTCAGGGGGAGATGCTGGAACGGGGTGCAAGGCTCTGCGCCGCCGCCCGACCCCCCCACTGCCCAGGAGCCTTCTCTACGGTCCCAGAGCTTCGCACGCAGCGAGGGGCGCTCACCTGGCACAGGAGGGGGGCGGGTTTGCGGGGCGCAGCGGTGTTGGGCGGCGAGCTGGCGAGTGGACTGCGGGAGCGAACGCGGCAGTCGTCACCAGGACCCCGGTTCTGCGGCGCGTTCCAAGAGGAACGCCACCTCCTCCTCGGCTCCGGAGGGGGCGGCGCGCGGGGCGGGCCTTATCAAGGCCCCGCCCCCCTCCGCGGGGTATTTTTCCTTTGCGGGACGGCGCGTCCAATGGCAGGCGGCAGGCCGCCCCCGGAAGGCTAAGCCCGGAGGCGGGGCCTGGGCGGGGCCCGCGCGGCCGGCGCTCCACCCCCGCCCCCGGCCTCGTCGGACGTGACTCGGGCCACATCCCGCGGGTCGCCGGGCCGCCCTGCCCCTCCCCCGCGCCGCCCGGGGCGCCGTGACTCAGCCGATTTCTCTCTCGGGAGAAGATCGGGATGGGAGGCTGCTGGAGGAAAAGCGGCCAGCAGAGCCGGGCCGAGCTTCCCTCCCGGGCGCGGCCCCTCCGCCGCCCGGGCAGGCCCGGCTTCCGCCTGCGTCACTGAGTAACAGAACCCAGAGGTCGGGCGGCCTCGCCCTCGGCTGGGCCGGCGGCGCGCGGGGCCGGCCCCGCCGGTGTCCCTAGTCGGGGCGTGAGGGAGGCCGCGGAAGGGCGGCGGCTGGATGCCGAGGGGCGCGCCCGCGGGCGGCTGCGGGCCGAGGGGGCCCGGCCTGCGCTGCGCGCGCCTTCTCCGCCCCGGGCCTGCTCCACGCTGCGCGGCCCCCACTCGGCTGCGAGTCTCCGGGACACTAGGCCGGGGACCCGGGGACTCTGCCACACGTCGCCCTCAGATCTGACTTCCTTTCCAAAGTTAAATTCAGCTCAGCCTCCCAGATACATTCCGAATCATCCCACTCTACCGGACAGGTCTCCACTCCTAACCCACCCCTGCTCTGCCCTGCTGGCACCCACCTGCGAGGAGACTGTAGGAGCCGGCAGAGCCTGGTCAGCAGAGCCTGGTCAGCAGCGAGTGAGCCGGGCCACACCCGGGCTGGGTTATAAGGCAGCTCCTGCCCTCCCCCGACCGATGTACCCAACCTTCTCCGGTGACCCCTGCCCTTTCTTTGCCATGGATCCTTTGGCTGGGACCTATATTTAGGGAAACCTGAAGCCCCTGACATTCATGCCAGCTTGGGGCCCCAAGGGAAGGGGGAGGGAGCCGCCCTTTTTGAGGGCTGGGGGGAGGGCCCCCTGCCCACTCACCGGTAATATAGAGGCACTTTCTTCCTTGGAAATCCAGACTGAGGTCTTCAAACGATTGTCAAAAGAAACAAATCTTTGGACAGGGATCTGTGGGGAGGGGGCGGGGTAAATGGACTCAGATCATGTGGCCCTCTGCTGATCCCCCACCCTTGACTCTGCGCCCCATGGTGGCCATTCTCTAGAGCCCATTTCTTTAGAGGAAGAGCAGATGCAGGTACTACACTCACACCACCAAAATAGAAGAGTCCATGGATGGGGTATGGCTGGGGCATCCCTGTATCTTGATACTCAAGGCCCACATTTCTCCCGCAGCGCTGTTTGTGGTGAACAGAGTCCCCCGCCCTCAGCTTCAAATATAAAGTTTGCTCGGGGAGGGGGAGGGAGAGGAAGACAGAGCACCTGCCAGCACACTTGCCCCTCTTTCTTCTGCCCTTTGAAGGGGCTGTGGTCCAGCTGGCCAAGCACTCTCTGAGTGTTACTCTGCAGGGAGCCAGGTTCTCCACTGCTGGTTCCCACGCTTGTGAGGTGGGCATGCCATTTGTGGCTCCAGTAGCCTGGATAAAGGTGTCCTGAGGCCCCTCAGGGGAGAGGACTTGTGTGCCCTGGGGGCTGACCACTCCCCAAAGGGCAGCAATGACTCCTCATCGGAGCTTGATCTCAAAGCAGAGACAGTTGAGGCTCTGGCAATCAGGAAGTTGGCACGTGCAGGCACAGTCGCAGAGTGGGCAGCAGCGAGGGCAGCGAGGGGCCCAGCCCTGAGGGAGAGGAGAAAGGACTGAGTGAGCAGAAAGAAGGGGGGCCAGAGCCCAAAGCTGTTTCCCTCTCAGGGGAGAAGAGAACAGAGTCCCGAGGAGTCCTTCTTGCCCAGTGGAACAGAGGGGCCCGCAATTCTCTGTGCTGTTGAGAAATCAGCAAGGAGGTGATGTTCCAAATAACCAAGTTCAGGAGCTGCAAAAAATTACTCAGGGGTTTCTTTCATTCTTATCATCTTATAGGTGGGGAGACTGAGACCCAGAGAGCAACTGGCCCTGGTCCACGTTTGAATTCAAGGGCCCTAGTGTTCAGCTCAAAGATGGTTCTACTACAACCTTGTGGCCCCAGGCAACTGAAAATCAGTAGATGGGGAAAGCATGCAACATTTCCTGTCTACAATGAAAAAAATTCGTTGGTTTTGGGATTTCTTCCTTGGCATGAGACCAAACTGCAGGATCTCATTCATTGTTCATTTCTGAGCACCTACTCCGTGCCAGGCACAGACCCACATTCATAAATGACAAAAAAGCTTTCTAGGTGTTCTTTGCAAACAGTAATTTGAAGGGGAAAAAAGAAAGATGATAGTAACCTGCATACTTCAATTAGAAAAAAAATGGTTTAAACATTATACTTCTTGTAATGATCAGAACCTGCAGTAGGGGACCTCTTTACAAAAGAGGAGATGGAGGCTCAGTGAGGGGAGTGATTACTCAAAGGAATACAACACAGAAATGCCACTGGATGGACCTGGGCATACCTGTTTCCAGTCCTTACCCACTACCACTCAGGGCCAGGAATACCAACCTCTCTCTGGGCCTGCAAGGTCAGGGACAGTTCATTTCATATCTCCATTGAGCTAGCACAGGGACTCAGTAATGGATGTTGAATGAATGGATGAATTAAAGCATATCATTTCCCCCTCTTTAGGCAATGAAGAATGAGGGCTTCTCAGCTCCAAACAGAAACAGAAGGTTTGTTTCTTGGGGAATAGGTACAGCCTGTCCTTGGAGAGAGGGAGAACGGACCCACTCCAACCCACTCCTCTCCTGCCTGAGGACTAGAATGATCTGTGACTGCTTCAGGCATGGACTGGAATCTGGCCAAGTGGCTGGACTGAACACACCCAGGATGTGTGACAGAAGATTGGCTCCTTGGGGCAGAGCTAGTGACAGCCACAGTTGCACAGTTCAGACACTGGGCCAAGCCAGGAATAGGGAAATGACCTTTTGAACAGCTGAGGTTTTGGGGTGTGGTTTCAGATGACTGCTGAGATCAAATATCACTGGGGCTCCAGTGAGGGGTGGGGATCCATGACTGCAGGAAGAGGGTTCTGAATCAGGCTGGTGCTGAATCAGGGAGGCTAGAAGCCTGATGGAAGGGAGAAAGCAAAGTGGTTTCCCTGTCTTTGGTGAGGGTGTGGATGGGGCATTGATGGAGCATACAGTCTGGGGATGAAGTTGGCTCTGTGGATTTGTGGAGGACCCCCACCATCATTCTGTGTGCAGAACTGGTGGCTAAGCGAGGCCCTGCTGCCTTCACCTCAGGGAAGATTAAAAGCTTTTCTTGGCTCTTTCTACGGGAAGGGTTTCAATCTCATCATTAACTGCTAATGGATATCTTGACTCTCACAGGCTGCCAAGTGGCTTCTGGAAGGAATCTGCTGTTTAAGTACCTTAAACAAGGACTCTGCAGAATGTTAACCCTTACAATTCTCTAGGCTCTGCAGTCTTTCCCTGTGATTTCTCTCACTTTGATTTTGTGATCTTGACTGGTGAGCACTCAGGCCCAGGTTTGGTAGATGCATGTTTTGAGTTTTGATTTCCTCATCTCTGAAACAATCATAATATCTACAAAATGGAGTCATTTGGAAAAGAACAAAGCACAATGCCTGAAACACAGTGAGCATGCAACAGCAGAGCATCTCACCCTCATAGCTCTACTTTGCCTGAGTAGTAGTTTTTAACTCTGCTGGGTGTCAGAAAACTCATTAAAAATTCACAAACTCCAGGAACTCCCTGGTGGTGCAAGGGGTTAAAAAGACACAACCTATGAAGCTATCCACAGCCACTGCAGCATGAGTTCGATCCCCGGCCAGGGAGATAACCACATGGCGCAGCAGACCTCTCCTGACTCGCCTGCTGCTCCCCTCAGCAGTGTATTTCAGTCAGTCTGCCTGTTCTGTTCCCTACTCTGTCTCTGGTGAATCCTCTCACCCCCCCCCACACCTCTGGCCTATACCCCAGTTCTTGTATGCATAAATAAATCTTTAAAAAAAAAATTTGCAAACTCCAGTCCCACCCCAGACCTACTGAGTGTGGGGCCTGGATGCCTGGTTTCCATTTAAGCCTGATACCTTCTGATCATACCCAGGGCTGAGAACCAGCCACTGCACCATATCACATCATTGCCCACACTCTACTATAACTGCCTCCCACTTCTCTCTGTCCTTCACCAGAGCGTAAGCCTGGGGGGATATAGAGCCATGTCTGTCTTACTTCCGCTGAGTCCCTGGACCCAGAACAGTGTGCCTCGACAGTAATTCCATAAAATTTTGGTCAGTGGAGAAATGAATGAATGACTTTGATCCTCACAGCGTGCCTGTGGAGGAAGAGGGCAGGCAGGCCTCCCTGGCAGAGAAGCCTGGGCTTGTATCCTTGCCCAAGCTTTAGGCAAGTCACTCTGACTTATAAGCTCTGTAGGCCTCTATTTCTACAACTGTGAAGTTTAGGCAAGAGTTTTATGATATTTGTGGTTGTTATTGTCACTATAAAAATACCGAAGAACAGAGACTTTTAATGCACTTTGTGAAAAGACAGCTCAAGGGCAAAATGAGCCAATTTATTCCCCTGCAAAAGGAGGTGGAAAATAGTTACCTACCTGTTCAGGCATGAATAGGTAGGTGGCCAAGGTGTGATGGCAAGTTATAAGGGGCAAATAACAGTTGTGATGAAATATGTTATAGGACCCCATTTTTGCCATGGAAGAGTAAAATACAGTAGTGAAAGAGTACTGTGTATTAGTACAGCGTGGGTTACAGCTGGTTGTATCTCCATATGAACACTTGATAAGCAATGGTTTTGCATTCAGAAGATATTTATGTATATGTTAAAGTACCCAGCTCTCAGGATGTTGGGTGGGGGTGGCGGGTTCCTGGAACAGTAGTCACTCAATGACAGAAAAGTGGCCCCTGAGGGGCTCTGTTTTTTCATGTAACTACCATTTGCAGAAGAGGTTATGTGGCCCCCCCACACCATGTCACACACATCACCTTTCTCCAGCTGTCACCTGCTTTTTTCTCCAAGTAGATTTTTTTTTTTTTTTTTTTTTTTGGTGGGACCCTCGCTGGTGGCCGGGGATCGAACCGGTGCAAGTAGCTTTTATCACCAGAACTTAACTGAGATGTTTGTTTTGTTTTTGGCTGTCTCCCCCTGGCCCAGTACCTGGAACCATGTCTGGTCTAGAGCAGACTCAGTAACAAATGTTGGTGAACAAGAAACATGAACACAGAGACAGCACCTAGCTCAGGTCCCTGGAGGCCAAGGGTAAGGGGAAAGAACTCACAGCATCTGAAGGCTGGGGACAGCAGGCATCCAGGCAGCGGGCTGGGCTTGGCAAAGGGAAGTCACAGGCTTCTGCGCAGGTCCAGCAACAGTCCTGGGGCCTGGAGGCACCCTGCTTCCTGCAGGGGGAGCTGCAGTCTGTGCAACAGCCTTGGGCCTAAGAGATGGCAGGACTCAAGATCTGGACCAGGTGGCACAGAGGGACAGTCAAGACTCAGGTTTTGGGAGAGGGGCAGGAGAGGAGGGGCTGCCTGGTTCCATGAAAGGGATGGCTATGGGAGTATAGAGCAAAGGTCTGGTCTCAGTTAAGAGGCTGCAGATGAGGAGACACAATGCCCAGATTTCTTCTCCCCAGAGCCCACCCTTCACCCCCCATCAGGCCCCTCACCAGCAGGCAGTGCCTAATCAGCAGCACTAGGCCCAGCAGCAACAAATAGACGCCCACAGCGATGAAGACGATGGCGGGGATGGGGAGCAGCAGGGAAGGACTGCTGACAGGAGCTGGGGTTGGATTCCACGGGCTAGAGGAGGCCTGGACAAGAACAGGAGGAAGGGTGACAAGCAGGGACATGGAAATACTAGGAGGGACACAGAGGTGGCTGGGGAAAGGGAGGAACAGCCACCAGATGGTGGAGAGGCTATGGGACTAGACTGCCTTGTCCCCCAAACCTACCTTTTCCCCTTGGCATCCCCATTTCAGCATCATCAAGGACTTGCTGGTCTTTCTAGACTTTTCCAAGACTTGCTGCTCTTTCTTTCAGAATGCCTCTCCAAACAGGGCTACTGTCTCACTCCACTGCCACTACTTTACCATCCCTCAGTTCCCATTACTGGCTCTGTCTTCCAACCAGGAATTTTACCCCTTTTCACACCAGCTTGTTCTTATATATCCATTAGTGGCTCAATTAGTGAGCCACTAACTGATGGAGCCATTAGTGGCTCCATCACTGGCTCAGTTCAAACCTTCTTTCAGTGACAAAGGTCCCAGTCTAGTCCTGCTTACCTCTCTTTCCCCCGATCCTGTTCCCCTCAAATGCCCCAGTACTTGCCCTCACCCCCGGGTCTCTGCCCATGCTCTCTCTCTGTCTTTTCTCCTTGATTACTTGGCAGACTCTTTGTCTTGCCAGGAAAGTTCCCTCCCGTGAGAAGCCCATTCCTGGCTCTCTTTCTCACAGTTCTTGTCCTGAGCTGGAAGGGTCTACGTTGTGTAAAGACACCCCTCTCCAGTCTGAGCTCGAAGGCAGGCAAGATCAGGGGGAGCTTAAGGCGTAGAGGGGGCGGCTCCTGAAGAGGAAGGGCCCAGGACTCACATCCATGCGGCAGGGCAGCGCCGGCCAGTCCAGGAGCTGCAGAGGAGAGAGTCCTGGGTCTCAGCTGCTGAGGGGAGGCCACTGGACGGGTACCCACTCTTCTCCCATTTTCCATTTGGGGAAACTGAGGCCCAAGGACGGCTCCGGGTTCGGACAATGGGGAGTGGGGGTGTGGGGATTCGGGCGGCGCCTCCCTCGCAGGCTGCAGCCGGGCCGAGGCCACACACCTCCGCTGTCCCCACCCCCGGCTTCCCCACCCCCCCACCCTATCACCTGAACCCTCCGGGCCGCGGGCAGTTCGCGGATTGCGCGCCGCTCAGGGTCCAATCGGCGGTGGCGACGGCACAGCCCAAAAGCCTCCCGCTGCTTCCCGCTGTTGCCGTGGAGATCGGAGCGCCGCTGCTACGGCGGCCGCCGAGGCCCAAACTCCTTCCCGCCCAGCTTTCCCGCCCGGGCCGCCGGCGCCGCCTGCTCTTCCCGGCCGCGCTGCGCGGCGCCTTCCCGCAGCTGCTGGGCCGAAACAGCGGATTCCCGCCGCCGCCCGCCCGGGTCGGATCCCCGTCATACGCCGGGTGCTGCGGCAGCCCGAGGGAAGACCGAACCCCCGGGCTGCGCCACCAACTCGCTGTGTGACTGTAGCCAAACCACTGAGCCTCTCTGAGTCCATTTCCTCCTCTGTAAAACAGGGAACGCCTGCCCTAGGGATAGTGTGAAAAATCAAAGCTACTTGTTAATTATATGGAATTAGACTCAATATTTTTTTCAACCTGGTCTCACGTCATTTTTACTGACATTGCCCTAATTTGTCTTCACCATCTGGTCTCTTCAGCCGTCATTATTGCTGTCAAAGTGATTTCCTCCCAGCCAGGTCAGATCTGTTCCCCTTCTATTTTTAAACTTCCAAAGGCTCCCCGCAGACTCCAGGATAAAACCCAAATGCTCCAACCGACAGGCAAGGCCATCCACTCTGAGACCTGCCTCCCTTCTGTTTATTCATTCCACGACCTATCCCAGCGAGTGCCCAACCAGTGCCCAGGGCTCTGGGTTGGGCTCCAGATTACCGTTCTCTAACAGACAATGAGGCAGACAAAGGTCCTGCCCTGGTTGCTTACCTGCCCCTGGGGGAGGGGAACAGACAAGTAAGCCAATAGTTTAGTGCCTCATCGGTTCTTTCCAGTTTCCACCACAAGGTCTGTTCAATGCTCCTGAGCCTGCACGTAGGGCTTCACAGCTCCACACCTCTGCAGATGCTATTCCCTCTGCCTAGAACAACTCTCCTTTGTCTCTCCCCTCCCCCACTACTCCTTCCTCATCCCTCCAGCCTCTCTGCTCAGTTTTGCCTCTGGGAAAACTTCCTGCCAGCCTCAGGCAGAGGTGGCTGCTTTGGACATCCTGTACTGTAAACCTAAGGTTCTAGCACTAATGACAAGATGTTTGAATTCTCCAGTTCAGTGCCTCGTTCCCCGATCATTACTGCAGTTGCCTGCATTGGATTCACCTCCATATCCCAAGTCCTAGCACTTGGTCTGGTCTGGGGGCCTCCAACGAGTATTCATTCTCATCTTCATTCTTGACCTCAGTAAGTTCTACACACACACGCTTGTCCACACATGGCACACTCATATAAGCATACTCACCCCAAGAGTTTGCAGACTTCAGCTGCAGTCAGCTGCTTCCTGGCATTTTCTCCTGAAAGCAGCGATGTACACGCCTGCTTTCGTCCCTGTTCTCCACTCCCATGTGCCTCACCCCAGCTGCTGCCCCCAGAGGTTGTCTACACCATGAGGCAGTCACAGAAATTGCCAGGGTCTGTGTCCTGGGTCTCAAATCTCCCCTTCCACCTTCAAACACACTCAGCCACTTCCTCTGCTGCCCCCAGCCCTCTCTGAGAGGGCACCAAGCCCAGACAACAGGGGTCTTGCTGTCCCCATCACTGATTGTAAGACAGGGTCAGATTGCCTTTTTGGGGTCTGTCTTCTTGTCTGTTCCTACCTTCTTTGCAGAATCCTGAGGCCCAATGTGAGGCCAGTCCCCACCTCAGCCCCAGGGCAGGCCTCAAGTGACATACCCTCCATCCCTCTCTTCAGCTTTGGCCAACAGAGACGTCAGCCTTGGCAAGGCCTCTGGACAGTGGTCAGACTCACTGCTAATGGTGTTCTGTTCCTACCCTGGGCTCATCCATTATGCAGGAGGGTGGACAGAGTACCAGGCCTGCTTGCTGCAAGGTAAGCCAATAGGAGGGGTGATGTATGTACCCCACTTTGCCAGGACCCCACTGCTACCCACAGCACACCCTCTGTGGGAGGGGGAGAGTAAATGGCTTTACCATAGCTGGATAGTCACACAAAGTCTCCCTCTATCGAAAGTTCAAAGCTGAAGTGGTCAGATATCATCACATGTAATTTTGTTCTACCCCGGGGAGAGAGAAAAAGATTATGTACTCCCCAGTCATCATGGGCTGGGTGGGAGACTTGAGATGCAGAGAGAGCCGAGAAGATGAGACGCCTCAGCAGGCCTAGGTTTGGGCGTGGGAAAAGAACTTGGCAGTTCTGATTTTGATCTAATATTTTCAGTCCCCTCCTATGGACATCAGACAGTAAGGCCTCCCAGAGACTGGGAAGAGGCTCACCAGCCTCCTTGTTATGAAAATGAAAGGCCTATGCTTAGGTAATTACCCTGGGGAAATAAAAGCGAAGCTGAGCTGAGCTAGAACAAACATTGAGACAGAGTCTTCGCAGACTTTATCTTATTTAATCCTAACAGTAGGCCTGAGTGGCAGAAACCTGTATTTCCATTTTAGAGATGACAAAGGATGACCTGACTGAAAGAGAACTTTAGAATCACATCTGGGTTTGAATTCTACTTCTGCCACTGTGTGTCTGTGTGACCTTGAGCCAGTCAACTGACCTCACAGAACCTCAGTCTTCCTCATGTGGAACATCGTGTTACCTAAGAGCCGGGCAGGTGTGGTTGTGATGCTCACAGGATGTATTACGTAGAGTGCCTGGCACAGAACAAGCATCCATTAAAAAAGAACAACTCTCTGTGATGATCACAATGACAGTTTATTGATTACAGTTGTAAAGGACAGGCTTATTAGGAAAAGGAGAAAGGGGAGGCGGGGAGGCACCTTCACAGATGCAGGTGGGCAGAGAGCTGCAGCTGCCACTTTGGAAAGGAAATGGTTCGTCAGAAGAGATGCCTGCACAGACACAGGAGGGCGGCCTGGGACCCGAGCTGCCAGGATGACTTTATAAAGCGCCAAGTTGGAAGTGTGTTCTCCGCCCTCCTTCAATCATCCCAGCACCCTGGGTAGGAGGATGCCTACTGCCCCCACTTTACAGAAGAGAAGCCCAGAACTCAGGGGAGTGAAATCACGTGCACAAGTTCTGCTGGCTAGTGAGTGACAGAACCAGGATATGAGCCCAGCCAGTGAGACTGTGTGTGTGAACTACTGAGGCTCAGAGAGGTTTTGACACTTGACCAAGATCACACAGCTCATCTATAGAACACATGGTCTGGACACTTAGTTTTCTGACTCTAGCTCATCTGTTAGACCCCTCAGCTTTTTCTGCCATCCAGATAAAGGGTGGGCCTGGACCTGTTTGGAACAGTACCTAACTTGGGACAGTACAATAAAAGCACTAAATAATAAATGCTCTGGCAGGCTGGCCAGGACTCTCCCCAGGGCTCAGGTAGGGGGAATTGGACCCTTCCCTGGGTATCATGTGGGAAACAGGCCACTTCTGGGTGCTTGTTTATTCACAGCCTTCGATGATATCACCCCGAAAGGCCCAGAAGCAGTACAGCTGGGTAAAGAGGATGAGCACAGCATTGGAACAGAGGACCCTGAAGTAGCAGGAAACCAGAAAGACCGAGCCCACATTGAACTGTGTGACAGGTCTGTAAGACTGCATGGGTGTGTGTGTAGGGGGGCCTCACTTGTGGAGCCAGGGAAAGTGGCGTCAGCTTGGGAGACTGGCAGGACACTTGGGTAGTTCACCCCACACTTCCCCCTGTACAGCAGGCTGCACCCCGACACCAGCACCCACTGGTCTGCCTCCCTTTGCTGGGAAGTTCAGACCCTCCCAGAGCACCGGAAGGCTGGGTGAACAGCATCCCATCTCGCCTTTCGTTCAGGCAGTACGTGCCCTCAGTCCTTCAAGAAAGCGCCTGCGCACATAGGAAAGCCATTTTCTCTCCAATTCCCTTTCCACAGTTCTGATTGTTCCAGGAGAAAGTCTCATTTTGCTGCCAGAAGCCCTTTAACACCTCTCTATCCATGCTTATCTTTTAACAAAGAGAGAGCAGGCCTCCAGCTCAGAATTCAGAGTAGGGGATAGTACCTAGCCGGATTGTTAGAATGAGGTTTTTCTCATCTTGTGTATTTGTTATAAGAGCTGACACTGGCTTTCTATTTTCAGTAGTGATAAAACATTCTTTTAAAGTACATAGTTAAGGCCTCCCTGGTGGCCTAGGGGTTAAGTCTCAGCACCATCATAGTTAAGGCCTGAGTTTGTTGTCTCCCCCTGGCCAGGGAGCTGACCCACATATGGTACAGCAGACCTCTCCTGTCTCACCAGCTGCTCCCCTCAGCAGTGGATTTCAGTAGATCTGCCTGTTCTGCTCTGCACTCTGGTGAATCTTCTCACCGACCGCGTCCCCCCCCCCCCCCTCCCCCCCCACTTCTGGCCTACACCCCAGCTCTTGTATGCATAAACAAATAAAAATAACTCTTTAAAAAACAAACAGGGCCTCCCCCATAACGCAGCGGTTGAGCGCTGGGTTGCGAAGCTGCCCACAGCCTCTGCAGCGCCAGCTCGATCCCCGGCCACCAGGCGAGGGTCCCACATGTCGTGCAGACCTCTCCTGCCGCTGCTCCCCTCAGCAGTGTACTTTGTCAGTCTGCCTGCTCTGCTCTCCCCTCTGGCTCTGGTAAATTCTCTCACCCTCCCGCGCTTCTGACTGTATCCAGTGCTTGTATAAAAAGAAAGAAATTTAAAAAACAAACAAAAGGGCCTCCCCGGTGGCGCAGCGGTTGAGCGCTGGGTTGTGAAGCTGCCCGCAGCCTCTGCGGCGCCGGTTCGATCCCCGGCTGCTCCCCGGCCACCAGAGGAGGGTCCCACATGGCGTGCAGACCTCTCCTGCCGCCTGCTGCTCCCCTCAGCAGTGTACTTCGGTCCTTCTGCCTGCTCTGCTCCCCGCTCTGGCTCTGGTGAATTCTCTCACCCTCCCACGCTTCTGACTATACCCAGTGCTTGTATGTATGTATAAATAAATAAATAAATCTTTAAAAATAAATAAATAAAACAAAAAACAAAGAGGGGCCTCCCTGGTGGCTCAAGGGGTTAAGACACAGCCTGTGAGGCAGTCTGCAGCCTCTGCAGCACGAGTTCGATCCCTGGCCACCCAGAGAGCAACCCACATGGCAGCAGACCTCTCCTGACTCTCCCGCTGCTCCCCTCAGCAGTGTACTTCCATCGATCTGCCTGTTTAGTTCTCTGCTCTGTCTCTGGTGAATCCTCTCAACCCCCCTCCCCCCTTACCCCCTCCCCGGACTTCTGACCTATACCCCCACTCTTGTATGCATAAATAAATAAATCTTTAAAAAAATAAGTAAAATAAAATAAAAAACAAACAAACAAACCCCAGCTATGCCATTTTCTACCTATGTGACCCTGGACGAGTCACACAACCTCTCTGTGCCTCAATTCTCTCATCTGCAAAGAAAAAGAATTAATGGCATCTCCGTCTTAGGTTTTTTGGTGGGGATTACATTAGTTAGTTTTTGCAAAGGGCATAGATTGGGGGCTGACATCCAGTAAATAAATGTTTGCTCTATAAATGTTTGCTATTATTACGTCAATAGGGAAGAAAAAAAATCCCAAGGTTTAGGGGACACTTTTTTAGACGAATCCCACCATTTTCCACGAGGGAACAAATCTTGAAATAAATAACTAAGAGACTGAGCTAGGATTTTGGTACATTTTTGGATTCCCAATTCACTAACCAGCCATTTCAATTTTTGATAATTTATAGAACCTCTTAGCTTGGGATTATTCACCTGCAGAATGAGTTACTATACCTCATTGAGTGTTCAAATGTGTGTGTTGAGGAGGCTCAGAAAAAGAGTGGGTATGATGTCTCCAGTGCATTCTCAACAGGGTAATATCACCCCCATGGGGACAAAAATTGGATCTTGGGGGCAGGAAATTCTTATTCTTTTTTATTCTTTTTAATATATAAAGCACAGATACACAGTCTATCCGTGTTACTAAAATTTCATGAGGGGTGGTGATTAGGAAACAAAAAAAATCTATAAAAAGTCTCCCTAGGGGAGCAATACGGAAAGAATTGAGAAACACTGCTCTAAAGGAAGGTTTTTCCAACTCGGTGGCTACCCACGGTGGCTTGTGAAATCAGCTTCATGCGTCACGACCAGCATTTTGGGAGGAAAAAAGGAGACAGAAAATGCACAAGACACAGGAGAAATATCAGTAAGTATTAACAACCTTTGGGTTCAGTTTGTGCCGAGTGACGAAGTAAAAGGTAGCTCATGTGGATCATTATAGAAAAAGCTGAAACCTGTTTTTCCAAACCACTGTTTTTCTTTTTTTCCCCTCATCCTTTCTCTGACAGACTAGCCCATGTGGCATTGGATTGAGAAAGAAACCCAATCCAAAGGAAAGAAATGCAGGAGAGGGTTCCGATTCCAGTTCAACTCTGGCCTCGCCTTTTCTAGCTCATGGCTCAGGACTCTTCCCCATCCTCACTCCATCCTCACTCTGGGGTAAGCCACGGGGACAGCACCCCTGGTTGCTGCTCGCCCTCACTCCTGCCTCTGTCCCCCACCCCCTTTTCCTCTCCAGTCCTCCCAACATGGAAGGCAGCAGTTTACCCCAGCACTAGCTCTGCCATTTACTAAGTAGCCAGGGACACATGACTGAACTTCTCTGAGTCTCGGTTTTCTCAGCAGTAAAAGGGAATGATTCCATCAGGCTGAAGTGATGCTTAAGTGAGAGAAAGTATATTAGTATTTCAGTAGTAGCTAACAGGCTTATTCCTATGTGAAGACGTTTACTGTGTTCTATTTAATGCTCCAAATGAGACTACTCAGGAGCAGGGAAGGTGACAGGGTAGACTACAGACATGTTGCCTGGTCTCAAGTCTCACTTCAGTATCCATATTACTTCTTTTTGGGGGACTGTATTGTCTCCTTTTTGAAAAGGAACTTTCCCCATAACTCCACAAATAACTCTGCTTGCACCATATTGGCCAGCCCTCTAGCTGCAAGGGAAGCTGGGAAATAAGGTTTTAAATAGGCACATTTCAGTCCCCAAGACAATAAGGAAGTGGGTGAGAATGGAAACTGGTTGGGCCACTAGAAACCTCATCTTCAGGGCCTCCCCGGGAGTGCAGTGGTTGAGCGCTGGGTTGCTAAGCTGCCCGCAGCCTCTGCAGCGCCCGTCCTTTCGATCCCCAGCTGCTCCCCGGCCACCAGAGGAGGGTCCCACATGGCGCGCAGACCTCTTCTGCCGCCCGCTGCTCCCCTCAGCAGTGTACTTTGGTCCTTCTGCCTGCTCTGCTCCCTGCTCTGGCTCTGGTGAATTCTCTCACCCTCCCACGCTTCCGACTGTACCCAGTGCATGTATAAATAAATAAATCTTTTTAAAAATTTTTAAAAAATAAAAGAAACCTCATCTTCAACAACTTTATCATGCTCTTGGTTTAACATTTATTTTTCAGAGGTCTCTGCAGAAAGAAAGTGGTTGAAGAAGCAAAACTGTTAATACAAGCTCTGAAAATTGACTGAAGTGTCTATATTTAATGATGTTCAATGATGTTTTGGTTCTGTTTGTTTTAACCTTTCAGTTTGCTTAGGAAAATGAGTTTATGAGTTTTCTATATGTTTAGACTATGATTTAAAATAAAATCTTGGGCCTCCTCGGTGGCGCAGGTGGTAGAGTTCGGTGCTGTGAAGCTGTCCGCAGCCTCTGGAGCGCTGGTTTGATCCCGGCCAGCCGGCGAGGGTCCCACATGGTGTGGCAGACTTCTTCTGTCTCGCCCGCTGCTCCCCTCAGCAGTGTATTTCGTCAGTCTGCCTGTTCTGTTCCCGGCTCTGTCTCTGGTGAGTCCTCTCACCCTCCCGCACATCTGGCCTGTACCCCGGTTCTTGTATAAATAAATAAATAAATCTTTTAAAAAATTAAAGTAAAATAAAATCTTATCTCATTCCCTTCCCAATTATGTAACCTGGGACAAGGTACTAAACCTCTGTATGCCTCCCTTTTCTTATTTGTAAAATGGATATGATATTAACCCCTTACCACAAAGTTGTTTTGAGGAAATGACTTCATATTTTTAAGTACTCAGCTCAGTGTCCATAGAAAATGCTATATAAGTAGCATTTAATGAGATATACAGATTTGAACCCACAGAGCTTGGCCCGTCATGGTCCAGAGAATGAATGAACTTACATTTGTTTCACATTTTAAAAGCTCCACCTTATTTTACATAAAGTGCATACATTTTAAGCATATGTCCTGGGAATGTTTACATTTGTATATACTGTGACCGACCAACAGAAGGGCGTTCCCAGCACCCCTGACGTTCCTGGGATCCTCTCCCAGTCAATAGCTGCCAGGAGTGAGTTAAATGCTGTTAGGATTTTTCAACAAAGATATCTTGCCTGTTTTGAACTTCAAATGGAACCATACAGTATGTTTCATTTATTACCTACAGTCTGAATTTAAAGCTCAGTTGGTCCCACTCTACAAATTGCTGCCTTAACTATTATCCAATAGTTATCACGCTCAAAGCAACAAATACCTTGACTATTCTTATTTTCTGGTCCCACCTCTTGCTGCTCTTTGAGCCCCGCCCATGTAACCTAACTGTCAATCGAAGCATCAACGAATTCTAATTGGCCATGCTGGCTAGAAGGCTCCACCCCTGAACCCCACCAGAGCCCGCCTCTCCACCAGGAGCCAATGATAGGGCACTTGGTCAAAAGAGGGGCCAATGGGGAGACGCGTCTTCTAAACTGCCCACCGGGCCACCAATGGAGGGCGATATTCCCGCCCTAACTGTCTGAGCAGAGCTGCCTCAGCCTCCTCGTGCCCTTGCAGTTTGACGTCTGCCCTGTATCCTGAGGGGCCCCTCAAAGCTGCTTAAGGGGAGCAGAATGGCCGGCTCCCACTCCCTACATCCCTCCCGGATCTTCCCCACCCCTCCCCTCCCTGGAATGGAGAGGAGGGGAGGGATTTTCCAGGCAAAAATAGTATATATGTAAATATGTATTTTTTCAGGGTTTCTCCTGTTTTTTTCCTTTTTAATAAGAAGATAGGATTTTTGTCTTTTTAAAGAAATATTTTAAACTTTCCAATATTTACACAATTCGAACATACAGCCCCTTTCTTTTTCCCAGTTCTGAGAGCTGATGGGAATCATCGGCCTCCCTCTCTAGCTTCCACCTTGCCCCTCAGAGGTGAGGCCTAGCATGAAATGTGAGGACCTACGGAAAGGGAGAGGAGACACAAGAGTCTGTGAGGCAGGGGCAGAGTATGGGACCGGGTGGTGTCAGGAAGGAGCAGGCACAGCATGAGGGTTGAAGGCGAGAGAGCAGGAGTGAACTGCCATGACTGGGAGGTAGGTCAGCTTCAGGAGTAACAGGAGAAAATGAAACTGATGAAATTGGGCTGATAAAAAATTAGGGTGTCCAATTGCCCTGGATGAGGGAAATTTAAAGTGCAATTAGGATCCCAAAGATACTGGTGCCTTCAGATGGTTATAGATGGACAGATGCTAAGGACCATTGAGTTGTTAGGGCGAAGGGGGTCTCTGAGCCTGAGGGACACTGTGCTGAGATATTCTCATGGCCATCTTTTCTCACCTCCACCCCAGACAGGCATGGCCTTGCTCTTTGTACTTGGCTGCATCTTCTTCCCCTTGAGCTTCACTCTCCTGTGCTGGAGTCTGCAGCACCATTCCAACGTGCGGATGGAGAAGCCACAGGCTGTTTTGGTGGCATCCAAGTAAGAGGACAGGGTGAGGGCATCCTTCTGGGGCCAGGGCTGGTGGAGCTATTTCCTACTCTAAGGAGTTGTTGGTGAGAACAGAAGCAGAGTGTCTGTGTGTGTGTGTGTGTATGTGTGTGTGTGTGGGGGGGAACAGGTTAAGAGTGAAAAGACACTGGCTATGGGTGTCCTGTGGATTCTGCAAATCACTTAACCTGTCAGAACTTTGGTTCCCCCTTTTATGAATGGGCTTAATTAAGAATACCCACCTTCCTTTCTTCCTGGAGATGTTATTGAGAGTCAGGTGAATTTGCTTTATCTGTAAACTCCTGCCAGTAGCCTTATCTCCTCTAGTGGAGGCAGCACCTGCTCACCACAGCCAACTGTGATCTTCTCTTAAAAGTAGAACTTTTATGTGAAATCTCCTGATTTTCAAACACTGACAAATGACTTCAAATAAAATGTTACTATACTGGCAAATCCACACTGGGCAAACAAAACATGTTTATAGGCTGGCAGGGCCCTTTGTACTGCAAATTTCTGACCTTTTTAACAAAGCTTAATATATACACCTGAGCTGTCACCAAACCTTAGGCAGGAGAGGGAGCAGGCAGAAGACGAGCATCTAGGTGAGTTCCTGGAAGATAAAATGCCATCTCTGCCTGCTTTAATACACATCCAACAAAATCCAACCAGACTCCTGGGCCAGGTTTGTGGCCCTCCAACAGCAGTGGAGGCAGCCTACCGTCCCCCATTCTCCCTGAAGCTCATTACTTTTTCCTGACGTTGCTTTGGCTTTAGAGTTATGCAAACATGGATTGGAAATTCTCATCGCCATGTTATCTTGGGCAAGTTTTTTTAAATCACTATGCCTCACTTTATCCATAAAACAAGGAACTTTTGTTGGGAAGGTTAAGTAAGAATGAATATATCACCTCATCCTGTGTCCAGAATATATCAAATACTTAGGAAGCTGGGCCCTTTTCCTCTGCAGTGAAGTCCTGAGGTTCACTGTTGTCTCTAAAATTTTAGTCTTAACTCCTGCCAGAGGTCAGAGACCTTGCAGGGACTGACTCACGCAGCCACTAGAGGGCAGCCCAAAACTGCAAATCCCAGCCCTCTTGCCTTTCTTGGGGACCTGGAATGGACTCTGGGAAGCAAAGGCAATTGTACTGTTGGCTATTGAGGTATACCTTAGGGCAGGCCTGGAGGCCAAAGTATGGTTTGGATAGCAGGCACCATGTCATGCAAAATCCACAGGTCAGCTGGTTTCAGAACAAGAAAGCTGAATTACAGGGAGACAGCAGGAAGGAGTGAGAAGCCAAGCCACTGGGCCACCTGGTTGCAGCTGGGCCTCTGACCTGCAGCTTGACCCTGGCCAAAGACCATTGAGCTTCAGTTTCCTTACAGCTGCATGAAGGGCTTCCACCAGCGAATGCCCCGGTCTTCTACCACTCCCAATCTCAGCTGTTCTGTGAAGTTGCAGAGGAAGGGCTGCCAGGAGCCTGAGAACACCTGCCCCAAAAGGTGGTAGCCAGGAGAAGCCAGGCAGCAGGGGGCTTCCTCCAGCTCGAGGTGGATTTTCTGAGGCAGCGTTTGCTCCCCCTTCCCCTTCTAAACCCTGGAGTCACTCTGACATCTGGTAGGAGAGTTCCTGCCACTCCTTAACTATGTGACCTTGGGCAGTGTCACTTAATGCCTCAGACCATGTCGTGACCTGTGAGAAGGGGCAGAGCCTTACCTCAGTGCTGTTCCAATAGCCAGATCAGGACACTGGACAGTCTTGCTGGGAAGTCAGGACCTAGAGTCACACATTGCTAGTTTCCCTCCCTCCCGTGGGAGTGAGACACACAGGGGTCTCTGAGTGTGAAGGGCATCCTTAAACTGACTCTTTAGTGACAGTGAGGCGCACTGATTTCTCATTCCAGGGAATCTTCTCTGCTGGAATGGGCATCCCCAAGTTGGGACCCCACCAGGGCACCCAGGGGCTCTAGGGAGGTGCTGCAAGAGAGGGAATGACAGACATTTGCAGAGTGCTAGTGGGAACGTGGGTCGCCTGACCCATCTGAGAGCCCAGAGCCCCCTCCCAGCTAATCCGGGTGCCCTGGCAAGCTTCCTCCGTGAGAGGAGACCTGCCCCTCCCCTGGCCCTTGTCCCCAGCAGCCCCCCGGCGCCGCAGCTGCTGTCTCTTTAAGGGCCTCCCCCTCCCTCTTTCTCTGCTCCCCCCATCTCTGTCGCAGCCGCTGCTGTGGCTCAGAGCTGCGTGGGGAGACGCTGCTGCAGGTCCGGTTTCTTGGTGTCTGGTCGGTGCCATCATTTCCCCACCCCTCCCCCACCCTCCCCAAGCTGGTGATTCCCTCCCCCTCCCCCTCCCCACTGAGGGGGCAGGGGGTTGGGCACGAACTCGCTATAATGCCCCGAGCAGCCTCCGTGCCGGCCGGCGGGGACTGTGGCGGCGGCGAGAGGCGGCGGTGGAGGCGGGAGAGCAGTGCTGACTAATGACCCCTCGCCTGGCCGCTCCTCTGTCTCCTGTCCCTCCCTCCCTCCCTCTCTCCCTCCCCTCCAGGGCTGGCACCACAGTCCCACCCCCCAGCCCCCACCCCGCCTTCTCGGGCCCTCCCAGCTTCTCCACGTAAGCCTCCCCCCCCCACCTGCCGGGCCTCCTCCCCTCCCCCACTGCATCCTGCTCCTCCCGTACCCTCCTCTCCCTCCGTCCTCTCACCCAGTCCTCCCCTCCCCAGCGCTCTCCCATCCCTCGGGCTGCTTTCTCCGGCTCCCTTTCTCAGATCCTCCCTCTCCCCATCTCCCCGGCCTCAGCTAACTCCCTCTCTCCCTCCTCCGGTCTGACTCCCTTGCCCCGTCTGTCCCGCCCCGTCCCCTTTGTGCCCCTTTCTCTCCTCCTCTCCCCTTCCCTGCCCGGGAGTCCCGGCTCCACCTCTCACTCCCTTCAGCTCGGCCTCCCAGTCCCTGCCCGAGGCCTGAGCCACCATGCTGACCCCAATGGTGGCTGGGGGGGTGGTGTTCCCCGGACTCTTCCTCCTCTCCAAGAACACGCTCCAGCGGCTGCCCCAGCTGCGCTGGGAGGAGGCCGACGCGGTCATTGTCTCAGCCAGGTAAACTGCAGCCCTTCCCCTCAGCCCTCTCCCCTTCCCAGGCTTTCTGAGGGTGGAAGGGTCCCCAGCCCTTCCCTGGACCTTGGGCCTGCTGGGGCCTGGGGTCTCCTGAAGCGGTGGGTGGGCTTTCCCTCCCCGCTTCCCTCTTGACTCGCTGTCCCGGGAGACCGCGTCCAAACCCAGCCATCTGGTCTACTAGTATCAGCCGCTTGCCTCGCCTTTCCCCATTCACCCTCCCACCCTCCCAAACAGGCCAGCATGTGACTAAAACATTTCTCTAAGATAGGAGGGGACAGGACCAGGGGCCAGAGCTGCGTATTATTCAGGCATGTGTTGGGAGGACAGGGCCCGAGGAGGGAAGGGAGCACTAGTAAACCCTGGGACAGCTGGGGAGGGGAGCGTGGTGGCAGTCAAGGAGCGAATGGGAAAGTGGCTAGGGGGACTTGGGGTGACTGAGGGCTCAGTTGATGACCAGCATGATGACTGGGTGGCTGAGGGGTGCAGGAAGAGGCTCAGGGCTCCGCTAGCCACCCAGGGCTGCCCCCTCCCAAGCCCGCCCTAGGGAGAGGCCCTGTTATCAGCTGGGCTCTCGCATCACTCACCTCAGGATGACCTCCCTGGTGTCCTCCTTAGATCTCGTGGCCCAGTATCCACACTGAGGGAAGGACAGAGGCAGTTTAGGAATGGGGGGACTGAGTAGCAGCTGGGCAAGTCTGGGAGCCCAGCTGGCGGGGCGAGTGAGCCCTGGAAAGATGGGCAGGGAGTGGCCCAAGAAGTGAGCGAGTCCAGAGCACAGTGACTGGACTAGTGAAGAGGTAGAGCTCTGGCTGCCACCACTCCTCCCTCTGTCTCCCCAGGCTAGTGTCCTCAGTCCAAGCCGTCATGGCCTCCACAGCTGGCTACATCGTCTCCACCTCCTGCAAGCACATCATTGATGACCAGTAAGTGTCAAGAGAGTGCCTTTGCCCAGACGCCACAGCCCGTGTGCATGTGTGACCCCCGAGTACGTCAGGTCTGCTAGGGGATTCCTTCAGTGGTCCCCTAGCTTTTAACTTGGGCTCGAGCAAGTTAACTGCAGTAGCTGCAACTCAACACCCAGGGATAAATTTATCCATGTCCTGTCCTTAAAGGTCAGAGCCAGGAGGGGGAATGGGGATCAAAAAGAATTCTCAAAGCAACTCCTGGGCTTCCTGACCTCTGCTATCGTAGTAGGTTCTGAATGTTGTTTCCTCTCCTCCTCCTCCACTACCTCCTCCCTCCCTTACACCCTTCAGGTCCCTTTTCCAACCAGCACCCAACTGGGGTGCCTCCTCCTTGTGCCAGGCTCATTCCTTCTCCCCCGCAGAATCCAGGGGTCCAGCCCCAGCTTGTGCACTAGAGAGGAGAGAGATGACACAAACAAGGCCACCAGCAGCTAGGTAGTGGGGGGAGGGGAGGGTGAAGAGGCCAAAATTTGGCACTGGCAGCCGCTGCAGTGCCTGGTGCTTGCCAAAAAAGCCTAGGCCTGAGAGGTGGGGCAGCCGAGGACTGAGGCCCTGTCCGTGGTGCTGACGGGCCCACTCTAGGTGGCCCGTGGGTTGCCTGTGAGGGTGTTGATGACGTCCCACACTTCTGACCCTGTTCTCTTTTCTCTGGTGGCCACCGAGCCCCAGGATATTGTCTGGAGGATCCTGATCTAGAGGCTCCCCCTTTTCCCCTGCAGATAAGTTCACTTATCTGTGGAGTAGGCCCCTCCCTGCCTGAAAGCGCTGCTGTGAGGACGGATGGAATGGTGAGTGGTGTGTGTCAGGCGCCTAGAGCAGTTCCGGCTCACACCCACCGTGGGTGCTGAACTCTTCAGACCCTGGGGACAGTGACTTGGCTTCTTCCTGCCCTCTCTGGCCCCTTCCCCCGCGCCCCCCCACTAGTTTCCTCCTCTTGTCTTCTTACTGAGGTCACCTCCAACTCTTTCACTGCCTCCTCCCAGGTCAGTTCTTGTTCCTTCCCCTTTAATCCTCAGGTGGGTGGGGAAGATCAGGATTAATCCTGGGGTAACAGCTGTTCCTACTCTGAGCACCTAATTGCTAGGGTGGGGTGGGTTTAACCCTTCACGTTGCAGTGCAGGTCCTGCCCGTCTTGTTCTCCCCACAAAACCGGGGTCCTACAGTGCTACAGGTCTGCTGGGGCTGGCTTTCTGGCCACACCCTGCTCTAGCTTCTCTTGGGCCCGTTGGACCCTTTGCACTTGAACTCTGCTTATTTTCCTGCCCTTCATTTCTAACCTGAGCTTGCTGCTCCCCTTTCCTTTCCCTCTTCCCCCTCCTGGTCACATGCTCCAGCACAAGTCTCAGGTTCTAGTTCCCCAAATCATCCCTGCCCCCTGCGCTGCCTTTCCAGGCCCAGATCAGCTCTCCCCTAGAGCCTGCCTTCTTCTTCATATCACCCCGCCTCCCCACCTGCCTGTCCCTCCCCAGGTCTCATGCCACTTCCGTTGCTCCTCATATTTGGTCTTAGTTCTTTTTCTGTGTCACTCTGGTCACTTTGCTTTCATGCCTCCACCTAATTGGGTGAGTTCCTTCCCTCTGGGCCTGCTTCTTTGACCTCCCACCCAACATCAGACCTGTCTGTTGCAAGGCTGTAGAATTTAAGAGAACGTGCTCAATGTGCTGACTCGAGAAAAAAAAAATGCAATGTTGCCTATTCGTGCACTTTTCATTTCTGTATACTCTCCAAGTGCATAGAACTTTCTCTACTCTTTGCTCCTTTTGCTCAGCGTTTTCTCCTTAGTGCTTGGCTGTACCTGAGACAACACGCGGTTGGTCTACACTCAGGCAGAACAAGCAGCACTGACAGCACCAATAGCTCATCAGTGGGCCCTTCTGGGACACTTGTCTTGAATTTTCTAGGGACAGTCAGGCTGAGGGGAATGGCTATGAAGGCGGACTTCTGTTTATTCCTTGGCCAGATTACCCAACTGCTCAGCTTCCTCATGTGTAAAATGGGAGTGATAACCATATCTACTTTTTATAAAAGTTTTTGTGGGCAGTAAATATATTCAGGTGTGTAAAAGATTTAGAATATGTGGGCCTCCCTGGTGGCGCTGCAGTTGAGCACTGGGTTGCGAAGCTGCCCGCAGCCTCTGCAGTGCCAGTTCGATCCCCGGCTGCTCCCCGGCCACCAGAGGAGGGTCCCACATGGCGCACAGACCTCTCCTGCCGCCCGCTGCTCCCCTCAGCAGTGTACCTCGGTCCTTCTGCCTGCTCTGCTCCCTGCTCTGGCTCTGGTGAATTCTCTCACCCTCCTGCGCTTCTGACTGTACCCAGTGCTTGTATAAACAAAACAAACAAACAAACAAACAAACAAACAAAGATTTAGAATATGAGACTAGCGCCTGCATGGAGTAAGTCACCATTAGTCAATGAGACCTTTCGCCATCACTCTTGCCTCTTTTGCTGCCTTCATCCTAACCCCAGCGGGTGCGCACATCTTCACTGAGTTGCTCTGATCACTCCATCTCTTCCCTCTGGGTTGCGGCTGTCTTTTGGTCTCTGTTCCTTTTTCACCCACCACAGAGCAGGCAGAGAGAAAGGAAATAGGAACGAATGAGTGAAGGAATGAGTGAATCTGAACATGGGAGTGTTCTGAAATCAGGCAGTGTGTGTTGAATCCCAGCACTCCTGCTTACCAGCGAGGTGACTGTGTGCACTTGGGCAAATTTCTGGCCCTCTGCCCTTGAGTTCCATCATGTAACTTGAGAGTCCACTTCCGGCTCAGGGTTGTTGTGAATATCACTTGAGACCTGACTCAGCCTGGCACCTGGCAGATGCTCTATCCATCTCCTTTCCTCCTTGATTCCTCTCTCTCTCTGCTCAACAGACACTGGCTTTCCTCTGCCTACACGCAATTTGCAGTGCCCTACTTCATCTACGACATCTACGCCATGTTCCTCTGTCACTGGCACAAGCACCAGGTCAAGGGGCATGGAGGGGACGAAGGGGGGGCCAGAGCCCCGGGCAGCACTTGGGCTGTCGTGCGCGGCTACCTGCACAAGGAGTTCCTCATGGTGCTCCACCATGCCGTCATGGTGCTTGTGTGTTTCCCGCTGTCGGTGGTGAGTTGGGGTGCCGAGAGCCTGCGCCCCCATATCCTGAGCCTAGGAAGCCCTGGGTCCATGTCCCAGCAGCAGGGTGGGTCCAGGATGGAGGGTCCCCCTGGAGGGTTTTCTAAGCACTAGCCCAGCCCACCCCCCGACAGCAAGAGGGTCTGGGGTCAGCTGGCCTGGGCTGGGTCAGGCGGCACTGAGCCTCCGGCCTGTCACTGCCCGTCTCTGAGCCTCTGGGTTCCTCAATTCAATGTCAGGTTTACAGTCTTACTTGCAGGATTGTTGGAGGGCTACACCGCGGTGTGCTCCCAGCTTTGCTTTTGTGCAGAGTTAAGCATCTCCAACAGTGACAGGCTAGCGGGAGGGCAGGGTCTGCTGGGGCATCGGGTGAGGCCAAGCCGCTTCCTTCCTCTCCTCAGGTGTGGCGTCAGGGCAAGGGAGATTTCTTTCTAGGCTGTTTGCTGATGGCAGAGGTCAGCACTCCCTTCGTCTGCCTTGGCAAGATCCTCATCCAGGTGAGAGAATACCTGAGGGGACATGTCTGGGGGGTGAGGGGGAGTGGGGCGCGGGAAGGGTCCAGCAGAGACTTTTCGGGTTCTGTAAAGGAATGGCTGCGTCGGGCCTGGGAGGGGCTACAGGCAGGAGAAGGGGCGGCCCCGGGGCGGCCAGGGGCGTGGGCGGAGCCAGCCCCTGCCCGCCCCTGACCTGGGCCCGCCCCTGACCTGGCCCCGCCCCTCCCGCAGTACAAGCGGCAGCACACGCTGCTGCACAAGGTGAACGGAGCCCTGATGCTGCTCAGCTTCCTCTGCTGCCGGGTGCTGCTCTTCCCCTACCTGTACTGGGCCTACGGGCGCCACGCCGGCCTGCCTCTGCTCGCCGTGCCGCTCGCCATCCCGGCCCACGTCAACCTGGGCGCCGCGCTCCTGCTCGCTCCCCAGCTGTACTGGTTCTTCCTCATCTGCCGCGGGGCCTGCCGCCTCTTCCGGCCCCGGGGCTCCCCGCCGCCCTCTCCCTGTCAGACCCAGGACTGAGGGTGGGGTCAGGGGATCCCCACCCACACACCCTGTGGGGACAGGGCTCTGGGACCGCTGGGTGGGGGTCGGGAGTCAGGGGTCTCTGACCCTGACAGCCCAGGACTGACGAACTCCGAAGGGGGTGGGGGCAGGGACCAGGTGACATGGAAGCCGAGAGAAGGAGACTTCTCCCCACAGTGCCTGAGCTGAGGGCAGTGAACCCTTTGGCAAACCCCCTTCTGGATCACCAACCCTGGGGCCCGGAAGAAGCGAAGGACAGAGGAAGGGGCACCACTTCCATCCATCTAGGGCTTGAGGGCTGTTGGGGAGACCACCGGGACGCAAGAGGTCTAGGAGAGAAATAATGGGTGGGAGATCCTGCTGCCAAGGCCATCCCAGCCCCCCTGCTGCAAACTCCTCTTAGCTCCCGTCACCTGGGAGGAGAAGACACCCTAATTCAACCCCTGGATCTTGCTTGGGGCTTGTCGCCCCCACAGCTCCTCTCCAGGGGAGGCCAGCCTGAAGAATCTTATTTATTTTATTTATTTGCCCAAATTCAAACTAGTTTGTTGGGGTGTGGGGAGGGAGATGGCTGCTACCCCCCAGCCTTCCCAGTGCTGAGCAACCCCCCAGGGCAGGCGAGGGGGCACCCTGTCCCTTCCCCATCAGGCTGCATATCTTGCCCTCCGGCCCTGGCATGTCCCTGGTGCTACAGACCTCAAGGCTTCCTCCAATCTGGGGTCAGGGGACCCTGGGAGGTGCTTTACAGACCGCTAATAAAGACGATCTGCGTGAACGCCACCGAGGCCCTCTCCTCTCCTGCTTCTTTGGGGCTGGGGAGGGTCCCGCTTGGGGTAGAAGCACTGAGGGCACCTGCAACGACTGCCAGGGAGTCAAGGAGAAGGAAACCAGGACTTTATTCATCCTGGAGAGGAGGGTAGGTTTCGGCACTCAGGGCCAAGTCCAGCACCTGGTTCAGCTCTTCAGGCTCCTTTCTGGAAGCTCCTGTGGGGTATGGATGTCAGAGGTAGGAGGTCACATGCTGCCTCCCAAGGACTGTGAGGGGCTGGGGGTGGGGGGTAGGCCTTACATGTGTTTGCAGAACTGGAAAAGGAGGAAAAGGAAGGTCACTACCAGGAAGCCCACCGTTATGTAATAGAAGCCTCCAGAGCTGGAACCTGCTAGACAAGAAGGGGGAGATGACCCTGGATCATCTCCAGTGGAAGGGGCAGGGGCAGCTCTCCTCCAGGCCCTGGCACAGGTGAGGCCCTTCTCAAGCTGGTTCATACCTGAGGTCCCAAAGATGACCGGGCTTTCTCCAATGAATTTGGCCACAGCCAGGAGTCTGGCTTGGTCTGAGTCTGGGTAATCAAAAAAGTCACGTCTGTCTATGAAGAGTGGAGATTTTTCTCCTGGCGCCAAGGTCTTGACACTGGATGCTGGGGACCCAGAACAAAGTTTCTGACAGGAGCTCAGCAGACCCTTGTCCAAACCCCCCCCCCCCCAGAAGATGAGGTAGGCTCAGGTCACTGCCAGGCCACACAGCCTTAACATGGTTATGTAGGGACTTGATTTTGATCCAGGAACTTCCGCACAGGGATCAGCAGAGTTCTCCACCAGGGACTATGTCGGACAGGGAGGATGGGAGAGGAGCTTTGAGAACAAAGAGAAAGTCTGGCCTCCCAGGCCCCAAGGGGGCATGGACCCCTCCCCCAACCTTCCTCCCTCCCACTGTGCAGGACAGCTTCCCACCTGTTTCTAGGACCCCTGGCCCAACAAGCCACACCCACACCTGTGCCCACTGCCACAGCCTCATGATCCTCACTCCTGTGACAGGAGTAGGGGGGCTCTGTGATGTCATCACCTAGAACCATTCATTCTGATCACACTAAGTGGATGGGAAAGAAAGTATTAGGAGCTTGAGACCCTACCCCCCTAGTCCCAAATCAGAAGGGGAGAGGTTGGGACCCACAGAACCTTCATTCCTAGGGGTGATGCTGATGATGGCACAGGAACCATGGCCGCCCAGAATTTATAAATTGGAGGGCTCCGGACAGTCTGCTGAAAGCCTGGAGCTGGGGGGGGAGAGGGGGGCAGGGCCGCACACCTCTAGTAACCTTCAGATCAACCAAAGTCGCATTTATGGGGCACGCATTGATGTGCCAGGTACTTATCATTTACCAAGAGAAAATGTGTTTGTGTGGGGTGAGCTCCTCCGCCCTGGGACAGAGCACCTGGCACATCCTTTAACCATCACAACCCTGAGAGTGGTCCTACCTCTACCTTCGGAAGAGGGAACCAAGGCCAGGGAGCCAAGTGATATGGGCAGCACACACTTCTCACGGTGTGTGTTATCTTCCCCGAGGCTTCCCTTGCCTGCCTTGTGTCCCCAAATTCAGGGGCAAAGGAATCTCCTCCATGCCCCTAACCTGGCCACTCAGTGCTCAGAGGAGGAGGATGCTGGGCTTAGGAGCCAGGAGAAATAACAAACTTCGTCCAATAGGTGGCAGCAGTGCCCAAGTCTGCCCGCTCTCCCTATGCTCTTCCTCCCCAGAGGCACAGCATCCTGGACTCCGGGCCTGTCTTTGGCTTATTCCCACAGGTTGCATCGGGTGCTGCAGGAACCTGCTGGGGGAATGGCAGGCTTGGGGGTGCCATCTCATGGTGGTCTCTCCGTCATGCACAGAGCCTTCGGGGCTCGCCTCTCTGGGTGGGCTCCCCCAAAGGCCATCCTACCTCTCTCTTACCAGCCCCCACTTTCTCTTGTCACCTACCCACAGCCACTCTAAACTCTGGGGTCCCCCTCAGCTTCCAAGAGTGAGCTCCCTCTCCCCGACAGGTAGGTCTATCTGTCACAGATGTGGGTCTGTCTGTCGTAGATGTGTTCCACACTCAGAGGCTCCTTGGTCAGCAGACTCTGACAGGCCCAGGGCCATGGTGTGTGTTTGTGCTGGGTGAGCGCCTCTGTCCTGGGACGCTCCTCCCTGGACCCACCCCTCAGCTTTCTTGCCCTTAAGGACAACCCACCATTTCTCACAGCCACCTGGGGAGGCACTGGCCAGGTCAGCTTCTACTTCCTAATCCAGAAAAAGTCTAGGGAGGGAAAAAGTGGGGAAAAAGAGGCCAACTACTACCAATGGGGCCTCCTTCTGGTTCCCTTATCTCCTCTAAGGAGAGAGACTTACCCAAGATGACAGGGCATATGGGGGTCAGCAGAGACTCAACCTGGCTCTTGGCTCTGGGCCAGGGATCTCACCCCAGGCCCGTCTGCAGCTGCTCCCTGAGTTTAGCAGGAAGAAGGAGTCCAGAGCCTTTAGCTTGTGGAGTTGATTTTGTGGTTTCCTCAATCGCCTCAAATGAATACAGCTGCACTGTCTACCAGAAAAAGTCCTTTTAATTCAAACAATGAATGATCCATTCACTACTTCATCAGCCCATTAAATAAATGTATTGAGCTCTTGCTAGGTGTTGGGCTCCATTTACGGCTTAGAAATCGCCAGGGCACGGTTTCTGCCTCAGGGATCGCTGGGGAGAAAACTCAGACTGCACATCATCAGAGCAGAGCTGGACAGCTCCTAAGGGACAGTCTACACCGGCTGCCTCCGCCCCCTCTCCTTCCACATATTTTTCAAACCCGCCTTTGGACCTGACTTCGTCTCCACCCTCCACTGAAGCCTCTTTTGCCAAACCTACCAGTGACTTGTTCCCTTGCCAAATCTAACTGTTACCCCTCCGCTGCTTCTGTGTGTGTCTCAGTAAAGTGTACCTGCAGGGAGTCAGGTTTGGGGGCTCCTTCTCCAACCAGCTATGCCTTGGACCTTCTCTTTTCTATCTATACTCTCCCAAGGTGATCTCATCCAGACTCATAGCTTTAAATACCATCTATATGCCAGTGACTCACAAATGTATATTTCCAGCCCAGCCCTCTCCTCTGAGCTCCAGACTCCACTATCCAACTTCCTGCCTCATGTCTCCATAAGATCAAAAACATCTCAAATCCAACAGATCCCAACTGGAGCTCTTGGGTCTTCTATCCCAAATCTACTCGTTCTTCCCATCTCGGGACACGGTCTCACCTTTCCTTAGATGCAAACACCTAGGAATCATCCCGGACCGCCCTTCTGCCCGACAAACCCATAGTCAAGACCTGCTGGCCCGATTTCCAACATAATTCTCAAATCCATCCACTTCCCCCCAACTCCAGCGCTGCCCCCTCATTCGAGTTCACCCTGTGTCTCACGTGGCTAACTGCAATGGCCTGTGGGCAGGTCACGCTCCCCCAGCCAGAACAAAGCAGAGGATGGGAACCCACTCACTCCTTCAAACCTCCCAATGGCTTCTTCAATGACTTCTCGGTGAATTCTGCCCTTCTTCCCCTGAGCTGCAGGCCTCTGACCCAGCCCTGCCCACCCACCCACCTTGGCTCTTCCCACTACTCCGCCTTTGCACATCCTCAGCTTAGGATACTCTTGTCCCTGCACTTGACCCGCTCATTCCTCCTCTTCTAGGTCTATGTTGAAACTACTTCCCCTGAAGAGTAAACCCGATCTCCCACCTCCTGTGACCTTCCCATCACCACAGCAACCTCACTGCATTTACACGGCTGTGTATTGTCTTGCTCCCCTACAAGGCCATGAAGCCAGAGACTGGTGATCTTGCCATGGTCGAATCCCCACATTATATAGTAGATGTTCAACAAATAGGACTTAACTCAAGGATGAAAAGCTTTTCCACCAGGGCTCAGCACTGCCTGCCATTTCCCCTGCAACTGGTTGGAATTGCAACCTCACCCTCACCCGCCTTCACCCAGGCTTTCCAGAGGCTCCTGTGGATGCACGCTGTGCTCCATGAGGAGACAGCACTGCAGGAAGCAGGAATCTGGGGATTCCTTGCCCAGCACCCCCTCTCTTACCCCAGGTCTGCCTCCTGTGGCATTGAGGTCAAGGCTATCCTCTGGCCAAGTCCACCAACTCTGGACAGCATCACCCTTAACCCCGCTCCACTCATCCTCCTAGAGAGCTCTGAAGGAAACCTAATGGCTGCTCTACTGAAATGGAGTAATGAGTAGGTAATATAGGAACGTGGTTCAAAATCCCAAAGTAAAAAAAGGATGAACCTTGAGTAATCAGTCTTTTCTATTCCTGCCCTACCCTACCTGACAACAACCTCCTCAGAGGTCACCATAATTATCACTTTCTTGTGCAGCCTTCCAGAATAATCTATGCACAAATCAACAAGCATGTATAAATTCTCTCCTCCACCCCAATGGTAACATTCTGTACCTGCTGTTCCGCACCTTGCTTTTTGAGTTAACAGGAGATTGTGAAGATGATGTCCATCCAGGCGACTTCCTTTTTCATAGCTGCATACAACTTCATTGCATGAAATGATGTCACAGCTGAACCTGTTCCTTCTTCATAGATAATCCTGATGGTTTTCAGGTGTTTGCAATTACAAAGCTGCAGTCAACAGATCTTGACCTTCTCTACTTTGCTCAAGGGCCAGTGGAATTTTTGGGTCAAGGGTTGTGTATGGGTCATACTGGTATCGCCTATCAAACTGGGCTGGGGGGGGGGCATTTACCCACAGGCTCAACAACACCTTGTGGTAATAGATGCTTCGAATTTTACCAATTGGCAGGTGACATGTGGTGTCTGGGTGTAGCTGGCCTTTGCATTTCCCATACTTTAAAAAAAAATGTGGTAAAATTCACATAACAATATTTATGCCAACCATTTTCCAGTGCACTGTTCAGCAGTGTTAAGTCTTTTCATTGTTGTGTGATCTCTTACTTTTAAGTCACATTAATTAGTGCTGGCCCAGCTTGGGCAGCCTCACTCACCATGGCACTCACTCCCTGGTGGTGGCAGAGACAGACAAGTGATCCGCAGGGCAGAGCAGAGCAGAGCCTGAGACAGCACAGAGGCAGGCGCCTAGGAGGAGGCAGGATGACCTTGGAAAGAAGGGAAGGTCTTCCAGGCAGATTTGCGGTGTGAGAAGGGTGCAGAAGTCTTAGAAATCAGGGGTGTTCTAAAAAATCAGTATTGGGGAGGCGGGCTGTGAAGGGCTTTGAAGGCCACTGTGAGGACTCTTTTTTTGGGGGGGATGGCAAGTTTGGGGTAAAGGAGAACAAGAAGCAGAGGCTGAAGTTGAGAAACAGCAGACCGAAGAACAACCGCCGCATGCAGTCTCCTCCCCACCTGAGGGACAGACGTGGAGGTGGAGGGGTTCAGGGAGGGAGGGGGGTTCCCAACGGAGATGCCATCCCTGAGAAGGGCACCCCAGCCCTCGGGGGCTGGCTTGGCTCACAAGCAGAGCGGCCTGAAAGGCCAAAGGGAGGAGGCGTGGGGAAGTCACGGCCTCGGACCTCTCCCCGCTCCCGCGTCTCTGAGGTTCTCCGGCCGGGCTCAGGCCCCGGAGGCCCCAGGCCGGCGGCCGAGGGCGGCTCAGACCCCCTCCCCGGCCCGCCCCTCGCTCACTGCGGATCTCTAGGCTCCGCCCCAGGCCCCGCCCCTCCGGGGAAGGGGAGGGGAGGCCGGACGCCCTCTGCGGGGGAGGGGCGTGAGGCCGTGCGAGGGGGGGTGCGGGGGGGATGCGAGCCCGCGTCGCCATGGCAACAGGCCGGTGGTCGGGCCCTGGAGACCCCGGGAGGAAGGCGGGCGAGAGCGTGGGCTGCGCGCAGGGGCAGGGCCGGGGGCCCGGGGCTCCCGGGAGGAGTTGGGGAACACCGGGCAGTTCTCCCGGGCGGTTCCCGGTGGCGCAGGGAGCCCGGGCGTGCGCGTGTGTGTCTGCGAACTTCTCCGGGGTGAGTGTGCCAGCGCGTCTGGGTTGGTGCATGTGTGTGAGCGTGCGCACGTGGGCACAGGCGTGTGCGCGGGGGTGCTCGTGCAAGATGCGTGTGCCGGCCCGCGTGCCCGCCAGTGTGTGTGCGCTCGGGTGCGCTCCTAAGTGTGGCCGGGCGGGCGCCGGCGGGAGAGTCCCGCCCCCTCCCCAGCCTCCGGCCGCCCCTCCCCGCCCCCCGCCGCCGGCGCCGGCTGCCTCTTCGCCTCCACCTCGCTCACCCCCTCCTCCCCGCACTTTCTCCTGCTCCCCCTCCCTCTCGGCTCGCACAGCCGGACTCCGCGCTCGGTTCGCCGGCCGCCCTGGGAATCGCCGGCCGCCACCGCCCAGCCTGCGCCCGCTGTCCCCCTCTTGCTTGGCACCTGTTGGAGGCACAGAGACAGGTGCAGGGGGCTGGGCCGCCGGGGGCGTGAGGGTGAGGGTGAGTGTGCGTGTGAGCCTGTGGGTGCCTCCGGGGGTGTTTGGCTCTCCGGAGGCTGCAATTTCTGGTTCCACTGGCGAGCCAGTCTCAGGAGGTGTCCCCACCTTGGGCTGCAGAGCGGGGACCAGACAGGAAGACAGATAGACCCTGGGGGTTGAATGAAGGGATAGTGGGAAGTGAAGCCCAGAGGGGTGGGTGACACCCGATCAGACAAGTGCCTGGTGCAAAAGAATGGACAGAGCCTCAGAGAGACAGAGGAGGGGGCCTGCGGGCCGCTTGGGGGCAGGCAGGGCCCAGGGCAGAAGGCGGCGCAGAAGGAAGGGCAGGGGCTGGGAAGATGACAAAGGGGCCATCTAGAGGTGAGCGGGCAAGATTGAGGTGGAGCCAGGACCTTTCTGGGGGAAGTGGGCTGGCATCCCCACCCCCAGGAGCAAGGCTTAGGGTCTGGAGGGCCCAGGCCTCCCACCTGCCCCTCAGCTGGCACAGGCTGCCCATTCCCTCACTGCCCAGGAAGGTAACCCTCACAGCGGGGCCCCACAGCCGAGGAGGTTGCCACCTGGCCCTGGGCCAGCAAACAGCAGGTTTGCGAAGTCAGTCGGGCTCACACTCACACCTGCCTCCCCCAGCCAGGGGTCCTGCATGAGGGGCCGCAGGAGCGACCGCATGACCATCAACATCCAGGAGCACATGGCCATCAACGTGTGCCCTGGGCCCATCCGGCCCATCCGCCAGATCTCGGACTACTTCCCCCGCCGGGGACCAGGGCCTGAAGGGGGTGGTGGGGGCTTCGGGGAGGCCCCTGCTAGTCTGGCACCACTGGCCCTGGCTCCCCCTGCAGCCCTCCTTGGGGCCAACACGCCTGAGGAGGGCGCTGAGGTGGACAGCTATGACTCGGATGATACCAGTGAGTTGGGGGGCTTGAGGGACCCAGGGTTCTCATGGGCCCCCCAGGCTGGGGGGGAGCGGGTGGGGCCCTGGGGTGTATGTGTGGGGAAGGTGACGGCACTGCCGCCACAGCTGCAGTCAGTATAGAGATTACAGCTTCAGCAAGGCTCAATATTCAATATTTCTGCTGAGACACTCAGCCACCCACACAGCCCCAGTAGCGGCCCAGCCAGGGACCCAGACGCGCAAGGCTCGCCGGCTGACAGACACAGACACGCAACTCACTTCCACAGCCGACACACAGCCAGCCTGCCCGCCAGTCTCATCCACACCTGGCTTAACACACCAACTCATGCCATCTTTTCCCTCCTCACCAGCCGCCCTGGGCACGCTGGAGTTTGATCTTCTCTACGACCAGGCCTCCTGCACGCTGCACTGTAGTATCCTCAGGGCCAAGGTGGGCACGCCCTGCCTCCCAGCCTTGGCCCGGTTTGCCTCCCAGGCTAGGGGTGAGAGGGGTGGGTTTCCATTCACGCTCCCTTCCCCAGGCCAGGCCCCATGCCCCACCCCCCCCACTCCAGCACCTCTCTTCTTGGCTCTCCAACTTCAAGGACCCAGCCCTCCCTCCACCCCTCCTCCCCAGGGCCTCAAGCCCATGGATTTCAATGGCCTGGCCGACCCCTATGTCAAGCTGCACTTGCTGCCTGGAGCCTGCAAGGTACTAGCCTCCTCCCTCCCGAGCTTGACCCAGTTTGGGGGGGTGGAATGTCTGTCCTAAATCCCCCCAATCTTTGTCTCTACACTTCAGGCCAATAAGCTGAAAACTAAGACTCAGAGGAACACGCTGAATCCCGTGTGGAACGAGGACCTGACATACAGTGGAATTACGGATGACGACATCACTCACAAGGTGCTCAGGTGAGGGCTCCATCCTCCCTGTACCAAGGATTCCAGCTCGGCCTCTCCTCCTGGACAGCTATCATTGCACCCTTCTTTGGTTGGTTGATCTCCCGCCCACTCAGCCCTTCTGAAATGCTCAAGAACAATCAGTGGCTCCCCATTCCCTTTGGCAACAGCCAAAATGTTTCCCTACCCCACACATCTCCCTGCTCTGCACAGGATTGCTCTCTTCAAACCAGACAGGTACATTACTCCTGACCTTTGTTGTGTCTCTTCCACCTGGAACACAGTCCCTGCTTTTGCCCAAATCCCACTCATTGAGGCTGTGCCTCCTGAAAGCTTTCCCTGGTCACTGAGACTCCTTAGAGCCCCTGATGCAGACCTTGGCAGCAGAGGTCTGCCCATTCTGTGCCCTCCCCCATCTCCAAGGAGGGATCCTTTCTGTCCTTCAGGGACAGGTTACCTGCTCTTTATCCCAGGAGGCGGAGCTTTGTGGGCAGCAGTCCCTGGAGGGAGTAAAGGCTTGTGAAAGACCTTTTCACTTGTTCTAGGTAACAGGGAGCCATAGCAGGTTCGCATCAGGGTAGGGGCGTGCTCAGGGTTGTTTTAGGCAGATCGTCTTGATGTTGGATGTGGGGTGGGCTGGATGGGAGGACAGAGGCTGAAGCCAGAAAGACAGGCCCCACATCCCTCAGATGTGAGAGAATGAGAACTAAATAACTGAGTACTCATTTGCACATTTCTTTGACTTGATCCTCCTAGTAGCTTTGGAGGTGGGTACTCTTGACACATGGGTAGATTCTGCAGATGGAGACTGAAGCTTAGGGAAGTCAGGTGACCTGCCCAAGGTCACACGGGTAGCTAGTACATGTCTGACCTAGGATTTGAACACCCCTGTGTGACACATGACACAGGACTCGGGAATGACAACAGAAGGAAGCACAGAGAACCAAAGGAGATAAAGTAAAAGCCATCATTTCTCAACCCTGTGCTCCCTGCCCAAGGCCCATCCAGCTCATACAACCTGAACCGGTGACCCATACCCAGCTGTGCATATTCAGTGAGACCCTGTTTCTCCAGGCCTTGAACAGAGCTATGCGGGATGTGGTGGTCCCCAATACTTGTAAGGGTCCCCTGTAGTAGCTGAAGGACCAGGGACAGACCAGGTAGATGGGAAGGGGTGGGGACAGAGGAATGGGGCAAGTCAAAGCATCCTCCTCCAGCTCCAGGCCTGGTGCTCACCACACAGCCCCCAGGCGACAGCCCAATTTATAGATGCAGCTTAGGGCAGACCAACCTCAGGTGCTCAGAGCTCCGTCGGAGGACCTTTTTCCCACCCTGGAGCGGAGCTCAGGTATCCCAGGAGGCCCTGACCCTGCAGTTCCCTGCCAGGATCTCTGTCTGTGACGAGGACAAGCTAAGCCACAATGAGTTTATCGGGGAGATCCGCGTACCCCTCCGCCGCCTCAAGCCTTCACAGAAGAAGCATTTTAACATCTGCCTGGAGCGCCAGGTCCCGGTCAGTGTGGGGCTCGGGACACCAGGGTGAGGGGGGCACCAGAGAGGTCAGATTTCTAGAACCTTCTCTTTGCCCTCTCAGCTGGCTTCACCCTCTTCCATGTCGGCGGCACTGAGGGGCATCTCCTGTTACCTGAAGGAGGTGAGGTAGCTCACAAGGACCACATCTGGGCGGGAGGTGGTGGGGATGAGGGCTGACCCGTGTGTCTGCCCTGTAGCTAGAACAGGTGGAGCAGGGACCGGGGCTGCTTGAAGAGCGTGGGCGCATCCTGCTGAGCCTCAGCTACAGCTCTCAGCGCCGGGGGCTCCTGGTGGGCATCTTGCGCTGTGCTCACCTGGCTGCCATGGACGTCAACGGCTACTCCGACCCCTACGTCAAGACGTGAGCCCTTGTCCTGTCCCAAGGCCCACCTTCCCCTCCACAGGGAGCTTGACCCCCTTCCTCATCCCTTGGGCCTGGCCTGACTCTGACCATAGCATTCCCCACCCTTTCCTTGACAGGTACCTGAGGCCAGACGTGGATAAAAAATCCAAGCATAAAACATGTGTGAAGAAGAAGACTCTGAACCCGGAATTTAATGAGGTAAAGGAGAGGGACCAAAATTTGAGGTACACTGAGGGGAGAGAAGGAAAGGCAGCACCTCATGGAAGGCGTGGCTTACCCTATTGCAGGAGTTCTTCTACGAGATGGAGCTCTCCGCCCTAGCCACGAAGACTCTGGAAGTCACAGTCTGGGACTATGACATAGGCAAATCCAATGACTTCATTGGTGAGGCAGCAGCCCGTTGGGTGGTCCCCGAGGGTGGGCAGGCCAGCTGTGAGGTGGGCCCTCATTTTGCTGGCTTCTACATTCTCCTCAGGTGGCGTGTCTCTGGGGCCAGGCGCCCAGGGAGAGGCCCGGAAGCACTGGAATGAGTGTCTGCAGCAGCTGGACACAGCCCTGGAGCGCTGGCACACCTTGACCAATGAGCTGCCCCCTGCAGCCGGGGCGCTTTCCTTAGCCTGAGCAGCCGATGGCTGCCCAGCACAGGCCCCTCAGGGCCGGGTCCAGTACCCAACCTTCGCACGAGTGTGTTGCACGTTTACACGGGGTGGATGCCCCGCCCTGCACTACCTGTCTTATTTTGTGAGAGTCTCTGTGACCGTGGGTCTGTCTTCTTGTGAGGGACCGTGGAGATCTATATTCACATATGCAAACTTCCTCCTGCCTGACTTGCTACTACACGCAAAATATGCAAATCACCCGCCCTGTGTACACCTGCAGGGGTCCTGCAGTGTCCCCACCCCAGGCCCCAGCCGCTGCTCCTCTCTCCTGCCTCTCCAGGCTGCCCGTCTCCCCTCCCCTGCAGGGAGGAGGATGGATTAGGGGGGGTTTGGAGGAGAGTGTTTCCACAAAAGGACAAAAAGCAAAAAAGAGCCACTTCTTTAATACAGAATCTTGACTGAAAAAAAAAAAACCTAGCCCTGTACAGCTGCCCTACTCAAGGGGGGCCACCGCAGGGTCACCGCCGCTCTGGGAGGCGGCTGATGCTCCCGGTCACTCACGAAGTAACTGCTCCCTGGAAGGGGCCGGGATGTGAGGGCAGGGCCCCCGTCCCCTGGTGAGAGGCCCAGGCCCGTTTCCTGGGGGACATTCATGCATGTTTATGCCTTTTCTGATTGTGTCAGTGGCCGCAGCATGGCAACTGAGTGTCAATAAACGTCTCTGCGGAAGCCAGGGGCTCGTGTGTGCTGGCAGAGGGTGCTGGGCGGGAGCGTGGGCAGAAGGGCGGTCACTCCGGGATGTCGATCACCAGGTCATCATCCCCATCCAGGGCATCGTCCCCGCTGCCCGCATCGCTGAACATCTGCCGAGGGACGGAGCTCAGGATCGTGGGTGGCGGCAGCTTGGGAGGGGGCAGGGGGGCTAGGGCTGCGCCTACCCCAGCCCCTGAACCCCGGCCAGGGAAGGCCAGCGGCCCTCCCACAGGGCAGTCGGGGGGTCCCACCGCCATCTGCAGTGGGGGCAAGAAACACAGGGAAGGCTCGTCAGGGAGGCCCTGGGACTCTCTGGAGGCGGGCACTGTACCTCCAAGCAGTGCTGGGGGCGGGAGGGGGACCCAGGCTCATTCAAAGGATAGGGGGCGAGGCCAGGCCAGCACGCGCTGGCACCTGGGGGCCTGCCCCACCTCAGCCCCTTTAAAGTCTCCAGTATCTGGGGGTGAGGGGTGGTGATGGAGGTGGGGATGAGGGTGGGGTGGGGTGGGGTGTCTTACAGGAAACCAGGAGGGAAAGACCAGGCCCTGCCCTCGCCAAGGAGGCACCTTGGCTGCCCCCCTAATAGCAGTTGGTGCCAGAGTCAGAGTCAACCTGGACTGCCTGCCTGCCTGCCTCTGGGGACCTCAGACACCACCTGCCACCGCTGGCCTCCTCTCCCTCCTCCTGGGCCAGTGGAGGGTTTTCCAGGTTTTTACCCCTACTGTTGAGGCTTCTACCTCTTTTACCTTGGATGGCCCCGCTTCGGGATCCCCGCAGCCAATGGCCTCGAGCAGGCCCTCCTCTCAGCTCACCTGGGCTACGAAACCAGCCTCCTCACTGGACTCCCTGCCTTCAGCCTCTGCCAGATGCAGCTCCTCCTCCACACTGCAGCCACAGTGAGCTCGCTAAAACAAACCTACATGTGTCATTGCTCCACTCAAGGGCCTCAGGCTCCTCACTGTTCTGGGACAAGGAGTTGGGGTGCTTGAGAGTAGGCGGATCCCTCAGGACACCTAGAGTGTCCTTTTCTCTTTGTCAAGAGTGCTGCATTGTCTTTGGAGGCCTCTGTCCTGCCCAACTCTCCAGCCTCACCCCTGCCAGGTCCCCATGGAGGGCTCTGCAGGCCTCCTACTCTGTCAGTGGGCACAAGCCAAATGCCTACCATGTGCCAAGCAATTTACATTAATGATCTCTGACCATCCACAGTCATCAGGCAGAGGAGGAAACTGTGACTTGGAAATGGGGGTTTTGAGAACCAACCTGCCAGGTCCCAATGGGCAGTATCCAATGTGGCCATGGGGGTGGCAGTAAAGGCCCACAGGTTGCCTTTGTAGCAGATTGCTTAAGGCATTAAACCCTCATGATCTTTCTGCTTCTTAAGGAGCCCCCACCCTCTCCGTTGTGCCTGGGGGACCAGGTGGGTTTTCACCTCAGGGTGTCAGGACTAATGACAAGCAGGAGCCCAGCTCTCAACATCTCAACAGCACCCTTGCACCCAGTACCAGCCACCCAGGTGTGCACATGTCCCCACCCTGGCTCCCTGCCTGGACCTACCCAATGGCCTCCTCAGTGTGACCAAGAGCAGGCAATGCTTATCTGTGGCTTTCTTGGGACCAGACTATTTTCTGTCCTGTAACTCATTTAATCCTCACTAGTGACCCTGCTGGACAATGAAAGCTGAGTCTCAGAGAAGGTAACAACATGCCTGAGGTCACATGAGCACGTGAAGAAGCTAGGATTCAAACCGGGCTCTGAACCGCCCCACTTCCCCTGACTTGCTACCTGTCTCCTCAGCCCAAGTCACGCAAGAATTTCAGTGACGCCAACCTTCTTTACAGCAACATTCTGACTGGGCACTCAGGCCTTCTACAGTCCCACCCCTCTCCAATACCCAATGCTTTCTTATCACTCATGCTCCAGCCTAAATGATCCTTCTGCCATGTCTGTGTCTCTGTCCTTTCTGCTGCTGCCTCAGCCTGGACGGTCCAAATCTCATGTATGCTGGGCACAAACGTTACCTCTTCTTTGGGGCCTTCTCTGATTTACTCCCTCCCTCATACACAACAATTATGAGGGCCCTCTTTGAACATTTTCTCTCCTGTTATGTTGAGAACTTAAGTTTCCTGATAGCTCTCTAGCTCAGGATCCAGTATCAACCAGAAAGCCTTGGCCATGTTCCACGCCACACCTCTACCCTTCTGCACCCGACCCCACCCCTGTTCTCTTCCACCACCCTGCCCTGCAGGTCAGGAGCAAAAACCCTACTCAGTAGAGCAAAGGGCTGTAATAGCATCCCCTTTTTTAGGCTCAAGGGTCAAGGTCACACAGAGGAAGTGGCAGAGCTGGGATATGAACTCCTAACCACCACAAACATGGCCTCCCCCATCTACTGCCTGCTCCAGAGTCTTGCGTTTGTAGTACATGCAACTTGAGAGCTGCCCAGCCTGGTTCAATTCCACTTTGATTTCTGAGCTGGTAGGGCACTGTGCCTTCTCTGTGTCCTCATCTTTTCCAGACCTCACCCATGTTCTCCTGCTGACAATCACACCCACCTCCATGCTGATGTCTTCCAAATATGTGCCCCCTGAGTCCCAGTCCCAGCTGGTTATCTCACAGGGATTTCCAGCAGCATCTCAACATGTTCGAAACCAAACTCTTCATCTTCCCTCCCCATCTCAGAAAAAGGGTACTTCACTCCTGCATTGGTCCAGGCCCCAAAGCCGAGTCATTCTTGACTTCCTTCTCTCAGTCCACTCTGGTGTTTGGTCCTCCTCTCTTTCAGCCTCTTTCACCTTCTCTATTGCTACCTGGGTTTACTGCAGGTAGCACTTTCACCGACTTCCCTTCCCAACCCCCCATCTATTCACCACACAGCACTGCCAGCAATTCTGTAACATGAAAATTAGATTGGCACTGTGCCCATCTCCTCTGGAGGTTCCCATTCCAGAGCATAAGCCAGAGTCGCCACAATACTTAAAAGGCTGGATACCATCATGGGATTCTCTAACCTGCTCTCCCATCACTTTCCTCCCTCACACTGGCCTCCTTCCTGTCCTTCAACAATGCAGACATGTTCCCTCCTCAGGGTCTTTGCACACTATCCCCTGACGCACACACTTTCCCAGAAAGCCACATGGTTTGTTCTCACCTCTCCCGAGTCTCAGACCAAGTTACACCCACAACATGCAAGCAAAACCATCAGTTCCCGTCTGCTCTGGTGCTTTCCAATCTCTTTGACTCCATTTTTCTGCCTTGATCCTATTTCTCTAGTCTTCATTCTGCCCATCTTACCAAAAGATAGGGACGGCGTCTGGTACACTGCAGGTGCTCCAGAAACAATCGATTACATTGGTTCGATCACTCATTTATAGACCTAGAATCTAGACCTAGATGGGCACAGAGGAGCGGAGGCCCCTTGAAGTAGCATGGCTCTCAGTGGGTACAGCCTTGACTTGAGTCTAGATGCAGCTCTGCCTAGCAGCACAGGATACCCAGGACCTATGCTAATAACAAGCCTGGCCCCGGCCCCACGCAGCGGTGTGAGGGCAGGACCCCAGGCATCTTCACTGTGAGTCCCTCAAGGCTGGTTTGCCCCTGATTTGTCTCAAGTGCCTGCAAGTGGTCACTTCTCTGATCCACCCCTGGGCTGGGCCCCCAGCCCATTCTGTGCCTCCCTCAGTGAGCTGTCCTCCTGCCATTCTGGCCCCTCCCTAACATCCCCAGACAAGGGTACCTTGAGTTTCCGGGGCAGGCGGGGTCGTTTCTCCCGCTTGGGCCTCATGGGGCTGGGCTCGGGCAGCTGCAGGGCCAGGTAGTCAGAAGGGAATGGGGGGTAGGGGGGGGAAGCCAGCTGCAGGTGGGAGTGGGGGATGGAGATGGGAATGGAGTGGATGGGGGGGGGGGAGGTGGTGAAGGGAAGAAACGCAAACAGGAGAAGAATGGAAAAACAAGAGATGGCGATGAGTGCGGCTCCTGAGAACAGAAGGGGAGGGGGCAGCAGCAGGACTGTGTCCTGGGGTCTGCTCTCCTCAGTCATGTACGCCCCCATTCCTACACCAAGAGAAATGGGCAGCCCCGACTCACACCCCTCCAAGGGACACTCGCTGGGCACACCCAGACATATGTCCCCACAGCTGGGCCAGCTTCATCCTGAGGCCTGGCTCCTCTGCCCAAATGATGCCCTCTTTATTCCCAGGCATCTTAGTTACCACTTAGTTACCCCAACTCACCGAGCTCAGGTATGGGGAGGGGGCCCCGGAGGCCTGAAGGGGAAACCCTGTTGAAGGAGGCAGGGAGAGGCTGGAGGGGGAGGGGACACCCCCCAGTGGAGGGCTTCTCTTCCTGGAGAAAGGACAGGGGAGGGAGTCAGAGGCAGCTAGGAAGCCTAGGTGCCTCCCACCCCCGCCCCTCCCAAGAAGAATGATGGCTTCTTCTCACCTCTTGGGGGCTGGCGTGTCCGACAACTTGGGTGTCCCTTCTGTCTCGCTGTTATCTGAGGATGCAGTGGCATCTGAGTCTGTGAGGGGGGAGGGCTGGTCAGTGTGTGGGAGATGAGGGGTTCCCGTCTACCTCAGAAGGGTGTAATCTCAGTTCTATGGACGGGTTTCAGGGGAATCTGACTCCACAGGTTGGTTCATGTCCTATTTTGGGGAGCCCCTAGTTTTCCCACCTTCTTAAAACATCATTTACAACCTACTTTCTGTCTGGGCTCCTCTATGATAACACATCTGTCAAGAATTTACTATGTGCCAGGCTCTAAATGGGCACTTCACATTTACCATCTGGTCTACATAACCATTCAAGGAGGAAGTAGGACAACTCATTTCTACTTTGCAGAAGTCACTGAGGCTCAGAAAACAGGATTTGGGGCTTGAGAACTTGAGCCTAGGTCTGCGACTCCTTGACCATCTTATGCCATCCTCTACTTAGTCACCTCTAAACTGCCTTCAGCTCCTGTCTTGGCTCTACTCCCCTCCTAGGGTCCTCTTCCTCCACCCCTAGAACCTCCCCCACCTCTATTATCTACCTCCATCCACTCCATCCCAACTGCTGCAAGGTCAGGCCACCACCTCGGCAAAACCACCTGCCACCCGCTGTCCATTCCAACCACACAATATCTTAAAATGTAAACATGGTCACCTCTTTCCTCATGATGCCCCCCACTGCCCAACAGCATTACAAAGTTTCTTTGTCTGGCTTCAAGTTATTTTTCTGGTCTCCCAAGCAAACTGTCCTCTACAGGAAAATGCCAATCTATTTCCTTAACGACGAAATTAATTTCCCAGCTCTTCCCCTTTACTTAGAAGGCCCATCATTTACTTAACAACCAACCACTACTCATGACACACCATTCCCAGTTTCCCTCCTCAGATAGCTCCCTTAGTACATAGCTTAAATGGCACCTCTTGAGAAATCTTCCAGAATCCCTCACACCCAGCTGGCTCTTAGAACTCTCTCCTCTCTCATCATGGTTCTTCTCACGCTGTGTTAAGACATAGGTGAGATGTCTCCCTGGCTAGACTGTAGGCTTCTCCGGGGATGAGTGATGGTTCAACTCTGGCTCTTGCTCCTCAGATTTAGCCGACTCTATGTACATGATTATTTCATGCCTCGCATGCTAAAGTCCCCTCAAACAGTAAGTTCACTGAAGACCTTAGGGAAGGGGCAGGCAAGCACTGAGAGGCTAGAATAAGAGTTGATTTTTGCCATGTCTACATGAGCGGGCTCCTACCTACTTCTTTGACCTCACCTACTATCCTCCTGTAACGTGTATGACTGGGTGGTGCATGTTCCAATAAAACACTATTTATAAAAACAAGCAGCCTCGTTGGCTGCTGCCTGCTGACCCCCAGCTCTAAACCAATGTTTAAAGGTACCATGGAGAGAGGTGACTGTTCATGGGGCCCCACCCAAGAATAGGGACAAATGCCCATCTTAGGGTTTTTCCAAACTGTGGGCCTCAACCCACATTAGTCGGTCATGAATTCATTGGTTTGTTACCAGCATTAAAAGAAAAAGTAACAGGGCCTCCTCTGGTGGCGCAGCAGTTGAGCGCTGGACTGCGAGGTTGCCCGCAGCCTCTGCAGCACCGGTTCGTTCCCTGGCCACCAGCGAGGTTCCCACAAAAAAAAACCAAAAAAACAAAAACGAAAAAAAGAAAAAGTAACAGCCTAAAACAGTATCAGAAAAAGTCATATACAGTGATCTTAATATTGCTTCAACTTTTGTTTTATAAGTAGGTATGCTGAAACCAGTTGTGATGTTAAGATACATTATTGGTGGTAGACGATACCAAAGAGACGGTTTGAAAACACTGCCCAATGTGTTTCAGACTTTCTGCTCTTCAAAAAAAGCCTTTTTACCTCAAAGCACCTGCATGTGTTATACCCTGTCTCCCTCTCACTGGAACCTGCACAAGATTGGTTTCTTCTCATCTAGGTCCCAGCTCAAACATTACTTTCTGAAATACACCTTTCTTGAGGATTCTACTGAGACATTGCCTGCTGCCCACTTTTGCTTAGCCTGCAAACTGAGACTGGCTTTTATGTTTTAAGTTTTGGGGACAAAATTAAAAGAAAAATACTTCACTACATGTGAAAATTATATGAAATTGTAATTTCAGTGTCCATGAATCAAGTTTTATTGAAACGTAGCCAAGCTCATTTATTGATCTAGCACCTATGGCTGCTTTTGTACTACAATAGCAGAGCTATGGAGTTAGAATAAAGATTGTCTTGCAAAGCCTAAAACATTTATTGGTTGGAACTCTACGGGGAAGATTTATCTACCTCTGCTTTACTCCAATCACTACCACCAAACCCAAGTTTTATTTCTCTCTAGTCCTTATTGCTATCTAGTTTCTTTGTATACCTAATACTGCCAACTAGAATACAACACTCCAAAAGGCTTTGTCCATTTTGGTTACCATGTCTCCCTGGTGCAAAGCACAATGCTTGAAACAGTAGATATAGATAGATGCTCAATAAATACTTGAAAAAATAGTAGAGGTGGAGGGCAAGCAACTAGGCTTAAAAACCACTGAAGGTCCCATCAATATCCACAGCCAGGAAGCTTGCTGAAGTGCCAGAAGTCATGTCCTCCACCAATTTTTCATGACCTTGCTCACCAGAAGAGTCTTCATCCACGTTCTCGTACTGAAGAAGTCGGTCTAGGAGAAAACTGGGGGGAAAGGCAGGGAAAACAGCTTTTATTCCCACCAGCAATGTTCTTCAGGGCTCCCATCCTTCCCGCGGACAGGCTGATCCTTAAAACAGCGCCAAGGCAGGCACCATGCATTTGTGGCCCATTCCAAGATGGGGTCCGGGTATAAATACAGGAGCCCTACCACTCTCCCGCCTAACATGTCTCACCTCTTGTCCCGGGACACCTTCAGCAATTTCCTCTGCGCCTTCCTCAGTTCCTCCTGGAAGCACTCGTGTTCCTGCATCACAGGCATGTGGACGCTGAGCCAACGGCTGTTCGTAAAGCCGCCCAGAATCCGAGGTCACATCACCTGACTTCCTTCGCAAGTGGGTAAACTGAGGTTCTACCAGCACCAGGCCTTGCCCCCCCCCCACCTCTCCAGCCCACACTCACGTAGATGAGGAACTTGAGCTTTCGCTTCAGGTTCCGGTATTTCTTCTTGTAGTCCACTTCGCCGTCCGCCGGCCCATTCATGACCGGCCCCGGGAGCAGCACCCCAGCACTAGCCGGAGTCCCGCTACCCTAAGCCGGCTGAGCCCGGCCTCTCAAGCCTCCACTTCCGGAGACTCGGCAAGACTGTGCACGCTAGGACTACAACTCCCGGCGTACCCCTCGCCCGGGGCTCGTACCCACAAGCACGGCCTCTTGGGGAAGACCGGGAAACAAGCGTTGCTTTCAGGGGCTGCGTTGAAGATGGCGTCGCAGCGACGCGATGACGTCATAAAAATGGAGGACGCGGAAGGACGTCCTTCACTAAGAGTGCTTAGCGATTTGAAAGCCACAAGATTTTCCCTCAGGGATTCCTAGTCTCCAGGCGAGGATGCCTGTTCCACTGCTTTCCCAAATAACAGCGGCATAGCCAGTGCCCGTGGCCACGGACGGAGAGAGCGTCGCGAGCTGACTACGTTCACGCAGAGGTTGCCGGCACCGAGTCGGTTTCTAACGAGAAACTTAAAAACGATTCGTTAAGAAAAGGAAAAAGCCGCGAGACCTCCAACTGCCCGAAAAAAGCAAATTTTGTCCGTCAAAGTTCTCGACCCAAAAAGGCCAGCGACCGAGACCCAACGGTCGCTCGCCTCCCGGCGCCACCACACCGCGCGTGCGCAAACTCCCGTCACACACGCGGACGGAGGCCGAGAAGAAAAAAAGGCGGGAGCCGCCGATTTCGTGGTGGTGGGGGGGGGCAAAATGGCGCGGGAGAAGGAGATGCAGGAGTTCACCCGTAGCCTCTTCCGAGGCCGCCCGGACCTCAGGTGCACTGGGAGTTGGGGTTGGAACGGGCAGGGGCGGGCTGGGGACTCCGTTTTGACACCGTGTCTCCGCAGCACGCTCACACACTCCATCGTGCGGCGGCGGTTCTTGGCTCACGCGGGCCGCGACCGCCTGGAACCCGCGGAGAAGCAGGCGCTGAAGCGCCTAGTGGAGGAGGAGCTTCTGAAGATGCAGGTGTGGGCCGGAGCCTGGGCCCCGGGAGGCGGGGCTTTCCCGGGAGGCGGGGCGAACGCCACCTGGGTACCCCTTTGGCTCTCTTGATGCTCGCACAGGGGGATGAAGCTAGCGCCAGGGAAGAGAAGCTAGACCTTGCCAAGGTGAAGAGGCCTCCCACCCCCTGCAGTGACCCAGAGAGAAAAAGGTTCCGCTTCAATTCGGAGTCAGGTTAGTGGCTTCTGCATGGTTGGTTTATTCAGGAAGTTTTTAGTGTGCATGAATTATGACTCAAGGTATCAGATGAAGGGCCGAGGCCACTGAATCAGAAGCCAGGAACAGGTGAACCGATAGCTGTGTTTCCTGATGCTCTTCCTCCATTCACCTGTCAAAACAGGCAACTTGTTACAAAGGAAGAAGGGACAGGAGGAAACTGGCTTAACCTCTTCTCTTCATAATCTAGAACACAGCTCTGCAGCCTCCAGTCCAGAGTGCTTCAGCCCCCCAGCAAAGAAAAAGATGGCAGCAGCAGAAGTCGGTGTGGCCAAGGAGAATCCAAAAAGAGCCTCAAAGAAAACAGTTGAGAGCAGTGATGAGGAAGAACAGAAGAGCCTGATGACAAACGCCAGATTGGAGAAAGAAGTGGAGAGCAGTGAGGAGGAGGATGGCCCTGCCAAAACAAGTAAGGTCTGGAAGGAAGAGAACAGTGAGGAAGAGGAGGAAAAGGCGCCTAAAGGCAGGACTAGGAAGAAAACTGTGACAAATAACAAGCAAGCATCAGGCAATACCTCAGTCAGGATGAAGCAGGCCAGGAAGGAAAGTGAGGACAGTGAGGAGGAGGAACCTGTCCAGATGGGAAAGAAGGCAGAGAGAAAGCGAGAAGCTAAAAGCCACAAGGAAAGTAAAAAGGAGAGTGAAGAAGAAGAGACCCTAGCCGAGAAGGAAGAAGACAGTGAGGAAGAGGAGGATTGGAATCCCAGAGCCCAGAGTAATGGAGGGAAGAGGCCAGCTCGGGAGGAGAGGAGCTGTAAACAGAAAAGCAGGGCAGTGAACCTGCTAGGAGACTGGGGAGACAGAGAGGAACAGAAGGAAAAAGTAGCAGTCAGCAGTGAGGATAACAGCAGGGGTGATGAAAAACCCTCAGTGCAGAGAAAGAGGAAGGTCAGGAGCCAGTGGAAAGATGGGAGGAAGCACAGTGGAAGCAGCGAGGAGGATGAAGACAGCTGTAGAACAGTAGAAACAAATGCTAAAGGCACTGGAAAGACAACCCAAGTGGGCAGGCTCAATGGTGAGGAGAGTGACTCAGAGAGGGAGGTGAGTGACAGCGAGTCAGAGGGAAGACCCAAAGGAGAGAAGAACCACCGCTCTTCCAAGAAGAGTTCCAAGAAAGGCAGGGCACGAAGCTCCTCCTCCTCCTCCTCAGATGGCAGTCCAGAACCCAAAGGTGGTAAGGTAAGGGTGACAACAGGGTGGGAGGCCACTATTAGGGAAAAGCAAGACTGACTCAAGCCCAGGAGGTTTGGCCTTCTGTTGCTGTCTCCTTGCCAGGCTGGCTCTAATCGCAGTGGTGAGGACCACCCAGCTGTAATGAGGCTCAAGCGATACATTCGGGCCTGTGGCGCCCATCGCAACTACAAGAAGCTGCTGGGCTCCTGCCGCTCCCACAAGGAGCGTTTGAGTGTCCTCCGGGCCGAGCTGGAAGCCCTGGGCATGAAGGGTGAGGCTGGGCATGTCCTAGGGGCTGTGGGGGAGGGCCCTGGCTGCTGGGGAAGAGAGGATCAGGAGCTTTTTCTGTCCCAGGTAACCCTTCCTTAGAGAAATGTCGGGCTCTGAAGGAGAAGCGGGAGGAGGCAGCGGAGATCGCCTCCTTGGACATTACTAATATCATCAACTGTTCAGGTGAGGCGCTTTCCTGTCAATTCCTCAGGAGCAGAAGGGGCTTGGACTTTCTTAGCCAATTAACCCCTCACTTCTTCCCCATAGGTCGACCACGCAGACGCACCGCTTGGAACCCTTCAGGAGAAGCAGGTCCCCCAGGGGAGCTATACCGCCGGACCTTGGACTCAGACGAAGAGCGAAACCGCCCCCCACCCCCAGATTGGTCACACATGCGGGGCATCATCAGCAGTGACGGCGAGAGTAACTGAGTTGCCCACTTTCCACTTGTAGAAAGTGTTCATAGCACCCCTACCCCCACCCTGTGCCTGCACAAAGCAGAGTGGACTTCTTCAGAGACTTGCAGCCCCCCGGAACACAAGTTGTTGGGATCCTACTTCACATTTCCAGTTCAAGGTGTTTCCAGGAAGTTATTTTCCAAGACTTAATAAAGTAATGTTTGAATCACCTCTTCAAAACTGGTCCCCCACTCTCACCTCTTGTACTTTGGGCCTGGAAACTGCAGAAAAGCCACTGCCACCCCTGGTCTGGTTCCTTTCATTTCTCCCAAAGTTCTCCAAAGAAATCCCAGCTTTCAGAGCCTGCCATCTAGTCTGCCACCATAAGATCAGAGAATATGGCTCCTATCTTTCCTTCAGCCTGAGCAGTGGGCCTCTCTGTTCACCACACTTTTAGCTATGTCTGAAAACCTAACACCTAGTTGGAAGAAGTAACTGGCCTGAAGAATGAGAAGCACAAAATGAAATGACTTAGGAATAGCTGGTGTTTATGTATGTGTCCTTGCCCCTTCTGCAAACAGCCAGACTTTTTCAGCCTTAAAGGGATGGGTATAGGACCTAGAGCTGGCAAATCAGGGTCTCTGGCTACAGAGAAAGCCAGTAAGGTCACTTCAAGGCTTTGCTGGAATTCCTGCTGAGGTGGTTGGTGCACTTGGGCAGCCAGGGGTCTGTGTGTGAGGGGAACCTTCTGAAAGCACTGTAAGTCCAAACAAAGGGAAGCACAGGGTGAAGAGACTGGTGGGTCTCTGAGGCTGGATCCAGGCATGCCTGAAATCATTAAAATCACTGAAATTTTCAGTTACACAGCCCAATAAATTCTCTTTAAAAAAACAGGTTAACTACCACCTGCCACTGTAGTCCTTAATGCACACCTTAAGACAGAAAAGGTGAGTCCCAGGGTCTGTTAGAATAACCAACAGTTTATTAAAAGCTTGCCATGGGGCTCTGTGCCAGCCCCATAGCTGGGAGGGGCTCCCATGACTGCCCCCAAGCCCAGGAGCAGTCCCTTCCAAGGTCCTTCCCTGTTCCCCTACGCCAGCTCTGATCTCAATTAAAAAAAAAAGATAAAGGACAAGACGGCACAGGACGTCAACAGCAATGGGGGAATGGAGAGACCCAGGCATCCTGACCCCAAGACCCCATCCTGATCCTTCTTTCTTAGGAAGGCCTTTCCTCCCATTCTCCCCACTCCAGGCCCCAGACCTGTTCTGCCACCACCCAGGTCTAGGGGGGTTGGCATCCCCAATCCATGACCCCATTGCAGGGGATAGTATAGTTCTCTGAATATAATATATCTAGACCCGCCCTTGCCCTCCCCCGGGGGACTAGATGAATATTTGACACGCACATCTCCCTCCTTTTCCGAGGCCATGATGGAGAGAGACCTGGCACCATGGTGGGGAGGCAAGGGCTCCTGATCAGCCTTGAGGCACCTATGCCCAAGCCGGTCCTGGGCCACTGGCCAGCCCAAGAAGCTCATGAGATGAGGAAGTTTGAGGGGAGCTGGAGTCAACATCCTGTCCCCCCACCCATGGATGAGCCACAGCTTACTGCCCTCCAGGATCAGGCTCCACCCACCCTTGCCCCTACCCCATTCATCTGCTTATCCACCTTGCACTTCAGGAATAGAAGTGGGAGGAGCCATTAAGGATGTGGGAAGCAACACTGGTGCTGCGGCTCAGAGGCCCGGGCACCGCGGCAGCAGGTGGGCCCACGTTGTCACTGCCACTGCCTCCAGAGGCTGCACGCCGCAGGGGCTGGGGACTGTTTCTTAGCAGCAGCAGGGCTCCACCACGGGGTGTTCCACTCTGTGCTGGGGGCCCCAGCCAGTTTGGGGGGCCAGGAGGTGCCAGCAAAGAGGGTTGACGCCAGGCTGGGGGGGGCATGCCTGGTGGAGGAGGGCCATGGCTCCAGTGTGCCCCTGAACGGGGAACAGGACGGGAGGGCCAGGCAGGGGCAGGGGGTGGAGCAGGATAGCCCTGGGCAGCAGCCTCAGCTGGGATGCCCCCCAGAGCCATACTGGAGAATCCCAGCCTCATACTTTCAGCATCGAAGGCCTCAATCTCACGGGCCTGCCGCTCAAGCAAACTCCGGATTCGTTCGGAGCGCCCTGTCTGCAGGGCCAGCAGCTCCTCTTCCACCTGGAGCACCCAGAAGAGAGGTTAGAGATTCCAGGGAGGGGGAGACATGCCCTCCCCACCACATCCTGGAGACAAAACTGTCTTACCCGCTGTTCTAGCAGTGCCCGCCTCAGAGCTACTCGCTGTTCCAGCTCCCGTAGCTCTCTCTCGTGCTGACTTTCTGTGCGTATCTTGATCTTGCTCTGGTAAGCATTGAGCAGCTCTAGTTCCTGTTGAAGCTGCTGCCGAAGGGCCTGGAACTCGGCCTCCTGGGTCTCATCAAGTCGTAGCTGGAGAATAGGAAGAACTAGCTTTAGTGACCTCCTCCCCTGCCCCCACAGTCCTCCCCTGCCCCCGGTAGGCCTGGGCCCTAAGGTTTCAAGAAGCAGCCAGTCTCAACATCTATCAAAATGAAAGGTCGTCATACCCTGTGACACAGCAATTACACTTCCAGGCATTTATCCCCCAGGTATACTTGCACAAGTGCTCGAAGGTGTTCACTGAAGCGTTGTAATAGCAAAATACTGGAAACAACCTAAATGTCCACCAATAAGGGATGGGTTAAATAAATTACGTTACATCCATGCCGTGGAAAATTCTACGCTGCTAAAAAATAAAAAAGAGCTACGTGTACTGACATGGAAAGATGTCCAAGAAATATTACATGGAAAAAGGAAGTTAGAGAACAATATGTTTGGTATGCTTGCATCTTTGTTTAAAGTTTTATATAATTTTCCATATATGTACATAAAAATAATCTAGAAATTATTAACAGGAACTACCTCTGAGAGGCAGGCTTGGGTGAAAGGATGGCAACCAATATGGGCACTTGTATTTTCTTGCTATTATGTGTATTTCAAGTGGCCCATTGCAGTGTTTCGTGTGATCATTTTAGATCAGCCACCTTCAAAACCCTCCAGATGTCTGAGTAAATCAGTATAAGAGATACAATCATTTTGATGTACTCCCTATTCATCATACATTAAACTAATTCAGGCCCAGGAAAAATGCAATAGCCACTCTTCCTTGGTGGTTCTTAAGTAAGGCAGGCTGGCTTTGTCAAGACCTTAAGAAAATACTTGAGAGGATAAAACTATAGCCGAGTATACTAACAGTGGGAGAATAGCTGAGTTTCTCAAGAACACCCCCATTTTTCCAGTGCCCATAACTAAGGTGGAAAAATATCCACCATGCTCCCTCCCTGGACCCCAGGCCTCACCGCCTGTGAGCTGAGCATCTCTGAGATGGACTGGTCATACTGCTCAGCTAGGATCGCCAGCTTGCGCGTCTGTTCTTCCTTGAGCCGTTTAAGGAGGCTCTTGTGCTGAGCTTTGGGTGTGGTCTCCAGCAAGTGTGCGCGCAGAGCCTTGTACTGCCGAGTCTGGATCTTACACGTCTCCTGGAACTGCTTCTTGATCTGCAGCTCCTTAGACTATGCAGTGGACGGACCAAGGGGAGATGGGGGCGGGAGAGAGAAAGAGGAAGAGGAAGAGGAAGAGGGAGAGGAGGAAGAGGAGGAGGAGGAGAACAACCAGGGGAAAGGGGGGGAAAGAGAGGAAGAGAGGACACAGCAGCAGACAGGGAGAGGGAGAGAAACAGAAAACATGTTAGACAGAGGGGGCGGGGGGAGCTGTATATGGACAGACATGGAGAGATGGGATTGTGTTGAGAGATCAGGAAGGTTCTTGATGGGCAAGAGATGCAAAGGATGATAGATTACAAGAGCACGTTCGGAGAGCTGGTTGGAAAACTTCATAAGAAAGAGCAGCAGAACTCATGGACAGGGAACTAACAATCTTTACAGAGTACTGAGTACACACAAGAAGCTCCGACCATGCAAAGAGGGCGAAGATAGGACCTGGAGGTAGAAGCATGTACGCAGACTCAGAATATGCACAAGATTGAGTGAGAAAACCAAGTCACACAAAACACCCATGGAAAAGAGCAACACAGCTAAGGAAAGAGAGAGGACGTCCCAGGTTTAGCACCTCAGGAAGGGAGGGAGGGAAGGAGGAAAAGCACTGAGCTGAGAAATGGAAAAGAAAGGATTGCCCCGTCTTGGGCTATGTAAGGGAAAGGGGCAGAGGAGGTAGCCAGAAAGGTCCTCACAAGTTCAAGGGGCCAGCAGCTGCCACCCTGACCAGATCTCCACATTCCAGTCGGCCCCTTTGATACACTCAGTTCCCAACCCCAAGTTCACAACCAATCCCATTTCCACGGCTCCCACAATCTCTGCATGGCCCCCCCAATTCACCACTTCCTATTGTGAAGGGTTTATAGTCCCAGCCCCCAACCCGAGGGTTATGCCTGATGCCAGGAGAGAAATTCAGCTCCCAGACAAAAGGGAACCACATAGGGATGGGCTGGGAGAAAAGGCAGGTGGTGAGGACAGAGGACCTGGAACCTAAGTACTCTCTGAAAGGAACCCACCGTGGGACCAAGAGGTTCTGTAGAAGCTCAAAAGGGGTCGAGACCCCTGAGCTGCTGTGGTCATGGTGCAACGAAGCTATGAAGGCAGACAGGATAAGGCTGAGGAGTGAAAGGGGTTGCGATAACGTAGATGGGGGTGAAGAGGTCATGGAACTGGGGGCCAAGGGACCAGATTGGGGGCATACCGGGGAGGCTAGGCGGCAGGACAAAGCAGACAGAGGCAGCCTGGGCCAAAGGTACAGTTCCGCTCAGATATTTTATTTGTGTTTATCTTTTTCTTTTTTGGTGGGGGAGAGGGGACAGGTTGGAAGGGAGACAGAAAAACAAAATCAAAGAGAGAAAAAAAAAACATGATTCTTCCCACCCACCACCACCCCCTGGCCCCTGGCCTGAGTTGATGAGGGTGAGGATGAGCACACACACAGCGGGAAAACAGCAATAACTTAGAGTGGGGGAGCGTCAGAACACACAGTGTAACTTCTGGCTCCAGGGTAGCGGAGGCTGCCTGTCTAGAGGTCCGGTGGTCTGGGAGTGAGGTGGGAAGCATACTGAGGAAGGAGGAGCGAAAGGGAGGAGAGGACCGGAACTGGAGAAACTTCACTGAGTGGTGGGAGATAAAGTGCTCAATGCTCTAGATTTGGACTGAGGAAGGGCTAGAGGTAGTGGTCACCTCCAGGGAGGCAGGGCCCGAGACTGGCGAGTTCGGGATC